TGCGGCTCTTTGGTTGCCCCCACATGAGGGCAGCCGTTTAGAAAAAAAAAGTCTAAAACGTAAACATAATTTAACGTAAAAATAATTGCTCAAATATGGCAGGGAACGGCTCACTGTGGAATGTCTTGGTGACAACAAATGTACAGTGAAACTATTGTTAAGGAATAACTAAGGTAGAAATGTTGTTTATTTTAAGTCAGAAGGTGTCGTCTGCTGTGTATACGTTGCTGTGTTTGTGTACAAGTAGCTCTGCGTGTGATGTGGCTCTCGAACTATTTTGGTCAAAGACAGAAACCCCCCAAAAATGCTTCTTCTTCTTTGAAAGGTTGCCGACTTCTGGTCGACAGAGAGTTGGGGTTTGTTGACTTTGCGCGTTTGTTCATGATGACAATCACGCTAATTGGCAGCCAGGTGTCACTGTGGTCAATATCATCAGCATCAGCCAAGGTCAATCACCTCCGATGAGCACGGTTGCTTACGTACGGTGCGAAAGAGGTTCAACAGACATACAATCCACTGCTGAATGATGGCTTTGCTAATCCGACGGCATCTTTCACGATCTTGCGATGTAATCCACCTCGCAGCTGTATTCGAGCTGATTTCATTAATCCATCTCAAGACGCGCTCCGTTTATTGGATGATTGGTGCATCTCTCCACGCTTCTTGATTAACTTTAAATTTTGTGTTACTTTTTTAACCCTATGTCATAGCATATAGCACGCCCTGACTACAAACTTTCTTCTCGAGGCACATTGGTACGTGGCTTTTCATGATGTTCAGCTTTGCGTTTCTTTCCAAAAGCACTCCAACCTGCTCTCATCCGCGTCTTCATTTCGCCCTCTTGATTCCCGTCTGTCTTGAACAGCTGTCCGAGTTACACATATCCTCCTGTGTTTTCCAGTTGTGTCCGAGATCTGCATGTTGAATCACGTTAAACCCCCGGTCGAATGTCGACTTTCTCAGGCTTGAAGGGTCCCTCCCCATGGGAACGTGGAATTTCCATCCCGGGCTCAGGGCCATCGATGGATATCAGCATTGTCTCGTTGCTAATTTGAGCACACTTTTATTTCATTAATGAAGCACCGACTTCTATACTGATCTTATACGTACGGTGTATTTTGTCCTAAAAAGTGAAGTTTATTAATAGACCTACATTATGGGACCTCCTTTGCCAGTACCAAAAGATCCACATTATGTAACAGTACGCGGGGCGGGAAGATCCTATACGCCCTTTACTCCTGAGTCGAATGGAACAGTGTTCGTCATCGGCCACACTCTGTCCACTGCTGGATGAAGGCGTCCCCAAGGTCTCGCGATCCGGCCAGCTCCTTGCACACGAGCTGATCTCAGTGCACCATCTAGTGGATTGGTTCGACATGGCACCGCGGTGACGAGATTTTAACGACCTCCTCGCTTGGTGTGCTAGAAGGTCGTGGGTTCAATCCCGACCTTGACGCCTGCTGCTCTGTATTTGGAGTTTGCGTGTCTCTCTCTCTTTCCGCCGTGACCGCGTGGATTTTTTTCCGGGTTCTCCGTTTCTTCCCTCCACATTTAGAATGGACATCACATTCCTGGATCTTAACATATCCAGGAATGTTAGCTTGCCATCCTTTTCCACTTCCATGGTGAATTTGATAGACGGGTGTATGGAATTTATGTGGTTGAGAAATTGGTTCAGTGCTGGCAGGCCATGTGGCATTGCACTCTCATGCCTTTGTATTGCACTCTCATGCTCACATGCCCCTTGGATTGCACTCTCATACTCACATGCCCTTTGGATTGCACTCGTTGGGTTGCGCTCATGCCTTTGGATTGCACCACTCTTCGATTTTACATTAACATGTTAATCTCTCACATTAACATAGCCACTTCCGTGCCCTCGTCGAAGAGGCCGCTCTTCTATCTTACAGTTACATGCTAACTTCTCGTATTAACATCACTAGCCCCGGCCACTCCTTTATGACCCTTGGGCTACACCCATTTCAAACCTTTTAAAACAGTCTGCATCAGCAGCAGACCATCGTTTTCCCACCTGATGACGGACGCTTGTGTTGCGCCCGAAACGTCGTGATTTATTTTATTTTATACCTACGTGACTTTATCGAAAGAACCAATTAACTTTTTACCGCCCCTACTGGACATCTGTGAAAAAGAGCTTCACAGCTCATTGGATTTATCCAGTGTGCATAAAGATTTTGATTCTGATATGAGGGATATTTGTCTTCGTGTGTTTCCCCATTATCATCAGGCAAGTGCATCATATAACAACTTATTTTCTATGTGGACGGAGATAAATTGGTGAGCACGAAAGGACGTCCTATCTTTGGGAAAACATCTCTTATGTACGCCTACGAGTTATACCACAAGCCTATTACAATTGCCTTGGCTCAGATTTTACAACATAAACATGACTGCAGCCATGTCCCTGGATAATGCCACATGTGCCGTTTGATGATTTTCAGAAGGCATTCAGCCTCCGAACACAATCCGCACCCAGAGACTGTGGGTGCCAAAACCGGGTTGACAGAACATTCAAGGGACAAATAAAAACGGATGCATCTTCACGTTCAATCCACTGCTGGACGAGAGCCTCCTCACGTCATGCTGGTCAGTGTCAATGAAGGCGAGGTACACAAACGTGGGGGAGGCAATATAAGTGTATCCAGAGAAGGTGGTGGGAATTCCACATTCCCATGGCGTGAATCAGTTATATCAATGATGCAATGTAAACATCCGATTTCCAAACCGTGTCAGTTACAGTACAAATAGGATTTAAAAAAACATTACGACTCCCAAACTGTATTTATACTCAGTGCACTTTATATTTGAAAGGGAGTCCGCACGAGGCAACCTTCGGCGAAGGGCTTTAATTCAAATTCCCCACTAGAACATATACACACACACTCGTGGGAAGACGTCTCTCTCCAACAGCCTCATCCTCTTCTTTGGTTCTTTCGGTAAAGTCACGTAGAATGAGAATAAAATAATAAAATAACACAATAAAATTCTCACGACGTTTCGGCCACAACGCAAGCGGCCGTCTTCAAGTGAAAGGTACCGAACTGTCGGGACGACAGAGCTTCAATGAACGATGTTAAGATTCGCAGCTGGTTAACCAGCTTAAAAGTCGCTACGAATCTTAACATCGTTCATTGAAGCTCTGTCGTCCCGACAGTTCTGTAAGACGGCCGCTTGCGTTGTGGCCGCAACGTCGTGAGAATTTTATTGTGTTATTTTATTATTTTATTCTCATTCTACGTGACTTTACCGAAAGAACCAAAAAGATGAATCCTTGCAGTCACGAAAGCTTCAAATCGAAATGTAGCCTCATCCTCCTCGCCAATCCTGTCCCTCGCTCCCACTCCACCCCTAACAGCCCTCTCTCCATCATTCGTTCTTCAAGCTCCTTTCCCTTCCCGAATTCCATTTAGCCAGCCCCATGCTTCTACCACTCTCGCCTGTCCTGTGGCTTGGCGCCGTAATTTATTATTGAGTGGCCGTGTGTGTATGTCGAACTTCGTTCGCACCGTACGTAGCCAACCGTGCTAATCGGAGGTGCTGGTTATCAGGGACCATTACACGTTTCGTGTTAATGAGCTATGAGATGCGTTCCTGATTTATTAATTTTGGGGATGGGTGGGGGCTGTGACCAAATTACTTGGAATGCGGCTGGTCTTGTCAGATCTCCGAGGCCAAGCAGATTTTAGCCTGGGATAGTGATTGGAATGGGTGACCAACATCAAGGTCGTTGTAGGTTATTGTAGGCTGGTGTTGAGGCTACGCGCTGGTTAGCCGAGTATTGTGCAATAAAATAATTTGTACTGCATGTTCTTCCACGTCTGTGCTCCTCGCAATCACAAAAACCGCACTGAACACCGTGAAGTAACTAACTCCCACGGTGTGATCTAGCAGTGGATTGACAGAAGGGGTTGTTTACGTACAAAATGTAATAACGCCTCCACAATGTGTAGTAATAATGATGTAGCCTCAATACCATTGTTGTCTGACATACACATAACCAGTTTGGTGGGACAAATTTATAAAAAAAAACAAGATTTCAAAACCCATTTTCCTAGGTTTATTATTTGAAGCTCTCCATCCAATCAGTCCGTTTAACAAACAAGTGATTGTTACCGCCATTATTTCCAGATGGCCAGAGAAGAAGAAAACAAAACCGCAGCTTGATTTTTTTTAAAAAAACAGATCTAAAGTTCGCCTCTTCAAAACACAACGCCCACTTTGAACGTAAACTTTGTCGAGCTTGTTAAAGTGTTGTTTTTTTTAGTAAAGATGCAGAAGAGAACTTTCTCGACTGTTCAGAGACACATTCCTCTGCTCTGACACGGAACGAATACCCCTCGCCCTTGCGGGCCACGTGCTTTAAATGGGAGGAGGCAGCGTGCAACTGATTCATCGATCCAATATTAAGACCGGCATCGATTTATTGTTGCCCCTGGCGATTCGATTATTTAATTAATCAAACGTATTTGACTCTTTCGGCAAATAGAGCCGGACGCTACAAACAAGCAAACAAACAAAAAAATTGTCCAAAAGGAGGGTTACAAATACAAACACAAGTTTAGACTCGAGCTCGAGTTGTAAAAAAAAAAACGGAATCGTCGAATCACAACTCTGTTTAAAATATCTTAAAACTACTATTGTGCGTTACCTAACGAATGTACAAAGCATATGAGCCCAACAAAAAAAGAAACCACAGCAGGATACACAAAACGACAATCGTGGTATTGAGATCGAATCGCAACGGGAATCCGTGGCGTGTTCAACGAGAGGCGGCTCGGCTCAATGACGGCTGATTACTCCGGAAGTTTATCAGAGGCACACGATACAAAATCAGACAATACCAGCGAAACCGGTTACAAACAAAAAAAATCGTCAATTATTTAATTGAATGCGGGGGAGGGATGCGGGGGGGGTGGAGGGATGCGGGGGGGGGGGTGACTCATCAACATCATCATCCTCCTGCCCCCTCGTGCGGGGGAGAGCCACGTGGCCGTGACTCGTGGGTGTCGGGGGGCTTTAAATAGGAGGAGCGGAACCGCCTCCATACGTTCACAAACATTTGGTTGGTTTCGTAGTCGCTTGTTAGTCGTGCGCTAGTTCTCGTTCTCGCTCCTATTCGTTGACCTGCGTCTTGCGGGCAGGAACTTCTGCGGTAACGCCATCGTCGTGCGAGGTCTTCCGCCCTGTCGTCGTCGTCGTCGTCGGTAAGGCGGTAAGTCGTCGTCGTCTCACTCGAACTGTTTAGAGGAGGAGGTGGTGGTGTGGACGTTGTCGATCGCCGCGTTAGTCGCCGAAGTTTTTCCTCCGTCCTGGTGGCGAGGTTGTACTTGGTGGCTCGCCTAACGCCAAACATTGTCTCGCCACCACCCCCTACACAACAACATGTCCCTTCACGTTGTGTGGAGATGGGGGAGTGGGAGATGTTTGTGGCGAAGGGTTGTGTTGGGGGGGACTTCTTGAGCGAGTTTTTTTTTCGTTAATACGTGTGAAATAGTTTGAGAGGATTTGTAGTAGACGGGGAGGGGTGTGGAGTTTTCACTGTAAACTGTTTTAGATGTTTTTTTGTTTGCTAAAGTTGCGCGCGCCAAAGTACTAAACATAGTTTGTGTCTAGTTTACGCTGGATTTGCCGCGTGGTTTTATTACAACGGTCTAGTTGGTGTGTACATGTACCCTACTATGTACATGTGTTTACAAAAAAGTAATGTCTGTAGTGAAATTTAGATTTACAGGATCTTTTGTGGAAGTGTTTTTTTTACTTTAAGCGCTGCCAGAGCTGCGATTTACAGTACACACCGCGGTGTCCGTCAACTTCTTCTGTACAGTTCCCAGTCGTTTTTATCGCTAGTTTTTTTTAATTAACCTTTGTTTTTTAATATACACGCTGTGTAACAAAGAGGAGCTGGCAACCCCTTGGTAGATCCATTCGATGGCGAAACAAACGTTCCGTATTGACTAACACTGGATGTTAGAACGTTGTCCTTGCGTTACAAAGCCATCTTAAACTAGTGTAAAAACTACAATGTGTGGCGTGAAGAGACATTTGGTAAGAATGTGATCGGGGTTTGAGAGGCAGTGGCTCTATCCTGTGGTTTTTTCTGGTTTGCGCTGTCCAGTACAGTGATCTTAACATTCAGCTATTTTATTGTACAATGTTGTACATTCACGCCACCTGTTTCTTTTTAAGGATCGGCGTTACTAATAAATCCCTTCCCAATAAAATGTAGCTTTTAAATGTTCAAGGTGTCTGACGGGGGTTATACATTTACAGTAAGAATATAAACTTGCACAACAGTACTGTACAATTTACCCAGTACTACATTGTTACTGGTGGGGGTCCAATTGGCACTCCACTGTTGGATGAAGGGGGGGCCCCCTTATCCCCCACGCGATATCTGTCCATGCGGTTGTTGTTTAACCATATTTCATCACTGCTGGTGGGTTGCCAGTTGGTGAATCGACAAGTACAAATATCTGGACACTTTAGTTTTTTTAAATCTAGGATGGGTTATTTTGTCTTTTTTGGTGGGTTTTTTTTAATGCGACTGACTTTTTCAGACGGAGAAATGGCTGACGTTGCTGAAATTGTTGCTGATGTTGGCGTTGAACAGCCGGTAAGGAACATTTCAAGCCAAGCAGGAAAATGCGTTTATCCCCAGTGGATTTTGATGGCCGTGAGAGGGTCCCAACCAGCAGTGGCTTTGCAAGGGCTGCCTGAATGTGTACGGATTGGCCCGTTAGAATATCCGTGTGATTTGGTGTTTTTTAGGAATCGAGTAACGAATCGCTGCCCCACAGCATACACGCTCGTACAGATTGTTAATAACACTGAATGCACAGATTAATTTTGTTTTAAAAATCTAATATACCCCATGGTATGTAGAATCTTAATATGATGTAAATTTAATAGGTTATCGTGCTAATGGGGTAAATGAGAACTTGTACAATTTGAGAATACAATCTTAATTGAATTGCTTTGGGTATGAATTGTACCTTTGCTGTACAGCCCAGTGCTGTCGTATGAATGGCGAAGTTGCAGCTATCTTTTAACATTCGCCTCCTGCAAGTCTTTGAAGCCATACAATAGATGCAGATAACGTCCATAATCTATAGTTGGAGGGAGGTCATTTGGATATCAGGCACTTGTTTCACAATCCGAATGATGCAAGTTCAAATCTCGGACAGGAATCCTTAAAACAAGTACCACTTTGTGGAGTGAACAGTCGTGCTGTGGATGTATTACACCCACATTTCCATAGAAGTGGGGGATGGAATTCCTTGCCACCTGGTTCAGGACTGCCTCTAACGTCCCACCTGAGCATGGAGATTCAGAATGGTAACATTTGCCAGAATTAAGTGTTCACGTGCGTTATTGCTTAAACCTTATAGTGGTGAGCTGACATGGCTGAGAATGGGTTCAGATTCTGGAAGCTGCCTGCGATTTAAAACTGGGTCCAAAATTGTCAGCTCTATCACCAATTGCTGTGCACAAAATCAGTTTGAGGACGGGAGTTTCCCCTCCCTGCTTTGTGGACCAAAGGTCAATTTTAAGTACTCTCAAAAGTGGCAAACATCTGCATCCCATGGGCTATTCTTTGACTCGAAAGGTTACATTGCTCAAAGCTCATTATGGATTTGTAATATAATGAAACTATGCTGTTTGTGCGTTAGGGGTAGAATTTGGCTGAAAATAATTTGAAGGAATTTTCAATATGGGTTATAACGTTTTGTAGCATTGACATGCATTTAATTGCAAGACTAACAGTTTTAAATCTTCTTCACCTAGGCTGCACAGGAGAGCATCATGTCACGTGTGGCAAACCTGCCCCTGCTGAGCTCTGCGTACGACATGATGGCATCTGCCTACAGCAGCACCAAGGAGAACCACCCGTACGTGAAGTCGGTGTGCGAGGTGGCCGAGCAGGGTGTGCGCACGGTTGCTGGTGTCGCCGCCACCACTGTCAAGCCCCTGGTGGACAAGCTGGAGCCTCAGAGTGAGTGGCCACGCGGCACCAATGCCTGCCATTCGCCGCTAAGGGACGGTGACATCACCATGGCGCCTGTGGCAGGCCAGGTACACTGAGGCCATGAAGTGCCAAGACTAGCTGACAGGTGGCCACCGGGACAGACTCGTGTGCTAATGGTTGACTGACTGAAAGATGCACCAGTTGTACCCCCTACTCTGCCACATGGGCCCTTGTGCTATCTGCCCCCATTTTCAGGACCCTTTTGGTGCTTGTACTGTGCTTTGCAAACTGGGGGGGAGGGGTGAGGGGAACCTTGTTACAATGGGCCAAATCACTGCCACATGTTTGGCGGGTCACGCATTAGTTGCCTAACAATTTGATCATGCGAGCACTGTATTGACTGCTCGGAATTGTTTTGACTAGTAGGTGACAGTGCTAAAATTAGAAATGGTGTTGCCGGATTGAAAATGTTCCCCTCCGGCAATCAATTGGTGCAGCTTGGATGCTTACGGGATTGGATCTCCATTTCGAAGGGGGTAGACCTTGTGGGCAGAGGCCAAGTTCCCCCACCCTTTCTCTCGAAGGTTAAAGTTTTAAATCTTAGTTTCAGTGACAACCGCATCCCATTGTGGCTGCCAGAGGAAAAAGCCATCCTGGAACTTGGCTCAAACGCTAGTTTGGAGTGGTACGGTAGGAAAGGGAATGGATGCAATGGACCGAGTTTGTGCTATGGACCTGCTCTTTGGCAGACGGCTTAAGAAATGGGAAGTTGCAAGTGGTTGTCTGGTAGGGTGGCTGCTTGGTAATGATACAACGGAATTTCCAAAGGCTTGGCCTTCCTTAAGATTGGTGCTGAAAATACGTTCTTGGACTTTGACATAACTGTGACGAAAATCTCATTCAACTTGTTCAATGTGGTCCCACGCCAATGATCCTTGTACCATAGAACTTTTTCATCCATTGGATGATTGTGTAACAATTTCGTTATTGTCAATGACATCTTTTTTATAAACCGTTCCAACGTGGTACCACAAATTATTGTACCTTTTAACTTTTATGCTATGCATGGTGAAGTATAATATGAGAACCATAATTGTCTCGGCTGGTGTGATCTTGGCACGGTTAATTAAATTATCATGGTCCGACTCAAAGTGGTTGGAGGAAATTTAATCTGGTTAGTACCAGGGTGATGACAGATGTTGAAACTTACATTTTACAGTATCTGATTACGTGACCCTGTCCTTTACCCTAGATTTTTTTTTACTCTTGCAGGCTCAATTTCATCACGATGGTGTATCTCGGGGTTGCTAATCTTGTGTAAATTGCACAGTTGGTGTTACACAACCTTGCACAATAGCCCCATCAAAGTTTACACGTTGATGCTTTTGACCGTGTTCAAAATGGCAACCTGGGCCTGTTGTAAATTTGGTGCAACGTAGTTTTATTGACCTCGTGTGCAAATGAGACCTTTGTATGATGGGTAAAAAATATTGCTTGCATACCTCTTACTCGTATACGAGTGGTTGCCTTAGATGCTATTAATGTAATTGGGTGACCAAAACATTGCTTGACGCATGCATGGCAATCGTGTGCGTTTCGTTTCTCCAGTTTCCACGGCAAACCAGTACGCATGCCTGGGGCTCGACAAGCTGGAGCAGAAGCTGCCCATTCTGCAGCAACCCACAGAACAGGTGTGCTTCATTGAATTGGCCAACACTCTCTTGAAGGAGATGAGCGTTTGTTGCCATGTGTGGTTTGCTTCACAGTTTAAGACAAGTGTGGTTTAAATATGGTGTGTCACAAGTTTATTTTGGAACTATTATCCTTGTATTTAATTTTTTTTATAAAATGACTTTTTTTTTTTTACATCTCAAGAGCTTTTCTTTGAGTGATGGGCACTGTCAGCTTAGTTCCAAACCCACAACTGTTAATGGTTGCTTTAAAAAAAAAGCCAATGAGCTTCCATGATCAATCAAAGTAACACTGACCTCTTGCAAATCCTGTGAAAATTGACTTCCATAGCTAGTGCCAATATTGACACGATTGTCTGTTTCTAAATAATTAAGGCGTTCGCTGTAGTGGTTATGCCCCCTGATGGCTGCTACAAGAAAGGCACTTGGTGTTAATTCCAAACCGCTGTGTATTTGAATCTCCCTGCATTTGATCAATTCTGGAAGAATAGTTGCTGGGCATTTTTTATTATTTTGTGTATATAAGTTGTATGCTCTTTGGTTCTTTTTAGTAAAGTCGCATAGATAGAAAATTAATAGATCATGACGTTTCAATTGCAGCACATTTTCTATTTATGACTTTACCGAAAGAACCAAAGTGTGGATTCCTGCAGTCACGAAAGCTTCAAATCAAGATTGTATAAGCAGTCTTAAGATTGCTCTATGCAAAATATACCTGAAATAGTATTGACTATTCTGAAACTTGGTTTTTAAACTTGCTGATCCACAGGCATTTCCGATCGCATTTAATCCTGTTTGCTGGACTATGGCAATCTCTTGGACAAGAACAGTTGTGGTGGAATGCAACGACAAAGAAACAATGTCACGTTGCATTCCAGTACTGGAGCAGTTCTCTAAACTGGGAGACCACTCGCATGGATACATTGAAAGTAGGGGGGGTTAGGATGCAATAAAGCCAGCTGCAGAAAAAAGGACCCATCACAGCTAATGGCAGCAGTGCGAGTCTACTGCAGGGTTTCTGTTCAGCTAAATTTCGATTTAAAGCTTTCGTGACTGCAATGATTCATCTTTTGTTCAGCTAGTTCAATATTTAAAGCGGCAGCATTTGGTGCTCAAAGTAAGAATGAATTTTACCCCAAATGCTTCGGCACGTTTATATATACTGTATAAACAATATCTTCTAACGATGCAGGTGGCTTCCAGTGCTCGCGGAATGGTTGGTGCCACCGTGGGCACGGTGACTAGCAGCGTCACCGGCGTTGTGGACAAGACCAAGGGCGTGGTGACCAGCGGTGTTGAAATGACGAAGGGGGTCGTATCAGGAGGGGTGGAAATGACAAAGGGGGTAGTGAACAGCAGCGTGGAGATGACCAAGGGCGTGGTGTCGGGAGGGGTTAGCACGGTGATGAACAGCCGCGTGGGGCAGCTGGTGACTGCCGGCGTGGACTCGGCACTTGGAAAGACGGACGAGTACGTCGATTACTACCTGCCGCCCTCCGAGTTGGACGGAGCACAGCCCGAGCAGTCTGGTGGGTACATATGTGGCTACTTGGTGTTGTTCTGCCAGTGATTTGAATGCTGATGTTATGCCTGTTCTAAAGTGGTATAGATGGGTGATATTAAGGAAAGTCTGGTAATTGTACCCAAATCCATTAATCCACAGAGTGGCTACCCATGCCATTGGTCTTTGAGGTTGCTTGACCATGGTTTGGGTTCATGAAGGTGGGTGTCTTGGGACCAGTTCGGATGTTTTAAATGGCTATGAATGAAACTTGTCTCCATGGTCTCAGGATGGTGTGCTAACTGACAAGCCAATTAAGCATTAACAACGTTTAGATGCTTCTATACTAATGCGTACAAGTTTTGCCAAATAGGGATTTCCAAACTCCATTTTTCATGCTGTCCAATCTTGTGCACATGGGTTTCTTACCTCTAGTGACTGGCATAATGGTCATTACAACAGGTAATGTGTAGGAAGCTTTGGAGAATAATTTTGTAATACATTGTGTGCCCATGCTGAAGTGTTTTGGCCAGCGTTACGATTCTTGCATTAGTCGAATGATGACCTTTTGGGTGTGCACCTGTGCTTAGACTTGTCCTTATGTTCCCATGTTGCAGGGGAGGCTGTGGGTGCAGTGGCAGAGGGGCAGCTTGTAGCTGGGCAGGAGCCCCAGAGCTACTATGTGCAGTTGAGTTGCTTGTCCACCAAAGTGCGGCAGCGCCTGTACGAGCAGTCCGTGACCCGCCTGCGCAATGCCAAGCTGCGCAGCCAAGATGCCATAGCACAGCTGCAGCACACGGTCAACCTGGTACGGTCACGTCTGTTTATTCCATTGATGCAGCACAACTTTATCCTGTTTCCTTAATTTGATATACATTGCATATTTTGGTACAGCAATACACTCTGCTCCTGTGCCCAATGCCTCTGTGCTGTTTTACAGATTGAATATGCCAAGACCCATCTAGACTCCTCAAGCCAACTGGTGCAGGAAAAACTTCAGAGCTCCTGGCAGCAGTGGCAGAAGACCCAGCCAGCTGGAGGGGCAGATGGGGCAGGTGCAGAAGAGCCTCAGGTAACCATTTTAAGACTAGCTTATTTGTATATTGTTGTCAATCTAAAATTTTCGTTCGAAAAATTGGTCAGCTCATGATTATTTTTGAGGGGGGGGGGCAGGGGGTTGCCCCATGTGGCGTGATGTTACCCGCTAATGGTTATTGGTGAGGGGTGCAGCATGTGGAGTGACGTCACACGCAGGACACTCTTGGCTTATATTAGTAATTATGCATTTGCAATGATGACCGTTCATTTTCGAGCCACATCTTAATGCAGGGCTATTAAACCCACCTGTCCCCATTCTAATGCCAATAAAGCTGAACATCTTCATTGCTCAAAATGGACAACCCTGCCCTAATATTTTATTGTCCTATACTGCTATTGTCTTTTGTAGATTCTGTCATTTGCCTAGTGCCAGCCCGTTTCTCCTGCTGATATTCTTTAACATGACTTACACCGATTTCCTTACTTTTTGCACAGTCTGACGAGTCCCGGACGCTGGCGATGGCTCGTGCCCTTAGCCAACAGGTGCACACATCGTGCGTGTCTCTCGCCTCCAACGTCCGTGGCCTCCCACAGAACGTGCAGGACCAAGCGCAGCGCGTCCGCCAAAATGCAGAGGCCCTCGTTGCTGCCTTCCGCAATACCACCTCTTTCAAGGTACTTGTATTGAACTGCTTGCCCATTTTTTTTTAAGTCGTCTTGGATAGAATGTGTGGCTGGAGAATGAATGGCTATAGTGGCTTTCTTCTAGACAAAGGCCAATTGGTCTAAACATCTTTCCTTTTTGACTGCAATATTTTATTTTTTGATCTCAATCACATTTACCATAAATTGACACTGACACACTTGGCAACTAACTTTGCACGTTCACAGGACATCCCAGAGCAGCTGTTGACACGCAGCAAGGAGCAGATGGCCCAGGTCAGCAGCTCTCTGGATGGAGTGCTTGAATATGTGGCTGAAAACATCCCCGGGGGCTGGGTGGTGGGGCCCCTGCGTCGTGTGGAAAAGGTCTCCACGGAATCAACTGGGGAGACTGGAGGCACAGCTGATGTGGTGGAGGCAGTAGATGCACCTGTTCAAGAAGATAAAATCCCAAAATGATTGATTTTGGTGAATGCAGCCTGACAACTGTCAGTTTCTTTTTGCTCTTTTGCTCCTATTTGCTTCTGAACATGTAATGCGATATTGAAATGGTTTCCAAATGTGATTGTCAAATAAAACGCTTCAGCAGGTCAGTATATTTAACTACTTTAATACTTCCTCATGCGTGCTCCTGAGATTTCTGGAAGGTCATTGTAAATGAAGAGGGGGGGGAAACCCTTCGTGTTATCCACTGCTTCATAAAGGCATCTTGTACTGCTATCCACTGCAGGAATACAATGACCCATATTTTGCCAAAGCTCCATCTCCTGCTGTGGTGATATCCCCCTTGACTACCATGCTGTATCAAGTCCCATTTCATTGGCCACCAAGTTGCTTGTCCTGCCCATTTGTCAAATATAGCACTTGGCTACACGGTGCGATAAACGTTCATGTGCTACCCTTGACAGCCGAGGTCATTCCAAACACCTGCGTCTTTCATCATTTTGTGGATGGCGGCACCTTTTAAACAGTTGCAGAGAACAGCCGATTTGCATGACTGCAAACATTAAATTTGCACCAAGGATCAAATTAATGCCTTGACTGATTGCCGCTTTGTTTCAACAGGCATACAAATGTTTGAACTCTACACCATTTTCATTCTGCTATTCTTAGTAACTGCAAGAGGTGATTCAATTTTAGACGGTAACCAGAGCTTGGGTAGATCTATATTGGTTGTCTGGCCCAGAAAAATGTTATGCATACTACAGTAAAAATGTAATGGTTTAATCCAATTCCTCAATTTGCTAAAGTGCCTCCAAACTTGACATTTTGACTTTATACGGTTACACTTTCAGCCTGGAAAATGCACTTAAACCTTTTGCAGTGTTCCATCAAATGTGTATCGTTAAATTGGCATTCTATATGCTGACGTGTGCATTCTCTTGTGTAACAATAAAGAAATGTCCTGCATCTGCTCCTGTTCGTGTTATTTGTGTATTGTTTGGAACATAAAGTGGATCCTGGGAAGGGGTCCTGCGTTAATGCAAGTCCACGGTGTCTGATGTTAATTGCTTCCTAATATACAGGTCATGGGTTCGATCCTGACGCCTGTATTTGGCGTTTGCATGTGTCACCTGTGACCGCGTGGATTTTTCTTCAACTCTTCTTTTTATAAACTTGAGTGGTTACTATAACCAAAATCTTTATGGATAATGCACTTCGTTGAGTTACCATTTGACCAGTTCGCTATTGCAAAACTATGCAGCTGTGGGCCTTGCCCAGTGGGGAAAAAAAATATTGCCACAGCTATTTAAGTGCATCACTGGCGCTAGTCTGCCCCGAGCATATTTATAATTTGGGAGCCGTAGCGGAATGGACAATGGAGCGGTATCCTGTAACAGTCTGCACCAATCGTCGCGCTACATACGATGTAGGCTGCGGTTTCAGACGCTGTATCAGTGCTCTAGATAGAAATTGTAATACGTGTTAGTTAACGTAAAGACCAGCAAGGTTAGGTAGTAGAATAACATGGAGTGGCTTTGGAGCTTCCGTTAATTGGCAGGGCAGTACATCTAGCACTGCCAACTTTTATTAAACTTGCAGCCAGTGCGGCATGCAAGGGATGACGCCTAATATAAATTCGCTTCTAGCATCCACCACGAGGGCCGACATTTACTGTCCTATAAATAGTACCGATCGCGATTAAATTTAGACTTGACTTTCGAAACTGCAGAAATTAATATTCTTGATTCGTTTGGTAAGTCACAGATACAAAACAAATGTGTTCTATCTACTCGACCTTACCGAAAGAACCAATAATATAATCGCCATTAATTCGAGTTTGCTTGATTAAATAAAACGAATTGGCCGAATTAAGCATGGAAATGAACTCTTTACAAAAATTATGGGTGGATGTTTTGATTCAAACCCACGATTATAAGTTTAATGTTCGACGCCAGCATTTTAGTTCTGAGCCACCCAGCCAAATTTCACCAAAAACATTCGCGTTCATTAATGGTACCTTAATACGTAGACTACAATTTAAGACTACCTACGAAGATCGACAATATTAGCCCTTATTTTTATGTGCATGTGCCACCACCAATGCAGTTCCTTTTGTATACATCACTACACTTATAGTTGTGTAGTACGGTTAATTTATCTACTTTTAAAATGGTTGGGACCAGGCATGTGGGTTTACAGATCCATCCAGAAGATTCTGAAATGTTTTAAATTGTTGAGATCAAATGTATATATGGGTTTTTAAATGTCCTTGTTTCATATTTGCAAATATCTTAAAGTTGCTATTTCAAATATCGGTGAGCATTTACATAGTAAAGATAACAATTGTACCATACTATACATCACTGTAAGAGTACTCCTTGATGGAGGTGTTGCTGTGGAAAGGCTGGTCCCTGCCATGGGAATGTGGATTTTTCGACCACTTCGGACTGCCAACGTAGATGAAAAGTTGCATATATAAGTGAGTAGGAAGGCATGTTAACTACCTCGCCTGGTATGAAGGAGGTTGTGAGTTCGATCCCGACCCTGACGCCTGTATACTTGGAGTTTTTATGCTCTCCCCGTGGTTGTGGATTTTCTCCTAGTCCAGTTTTTCTCTCCACGTTTAGAAACATTATTTTAGAGCATTTGGCTGCTATAAATTCCCACATGATAAGCCACTTCATTGAGCTATCATTCGTGACCAGGTCGTTTCTGACAGAGCTATATAGCTCGGTGAGCCTTACCTGGTAAAACATTTATATATATGAACCTGAATGGAATTGCTGGAGCTGAATCCAGAGCAGTGATTTCACACAAGGGCTGTACATAACTATTAAGATATATTTGTAATCAATTACAAGCCCTATGCAGCAAATGGAAATTATAATCCTGTAGCTCTATTCCTCGTCTAATTTCAGACTTAACTTCACTTTATGGATAATATACGATACTCTAAAACGAAATTGCCTTGGACGATTACGTGAGTAAAGGCTCCATTATAAAGTTAAATAATCGCACTTGTAGAAACGCAGGCAGATTAAACTGCAGACCTATGCCACGACACGTCAACAACACGATGTTGCATGACAAGTCACTACAGGTCATGAAAGCTGTCGTCATTATGATCTGATGGTTCAATGTCCTATATCCAAGGTCCGTGTATGGGGAACCACCTAAATCTGCTTTGCTAGCTGCTTGACTGATCTTCACTGGAGAATGTGCCTCTTCCATTTGAAATATTCATATGTTTGTCGACACACTGCTGTGGTTGTATTTATTCACGTGACATGTTTTTTTTGTCTTCCACAATTTTATTATAATCGTGCTATCGGAATCATGTCATAAGATGACTAACATGTTAGGAACTCTCGCAGTGCAGTGCAAACATCCTGTGTGTTCGAGAATGGTCCGCGGAAGTTAATATCACAGAACTTCTTCTGAGATACCGTACCTCCAACTGAATCTTTTTGTCCACATACTAAACAATGGTGCACTTTCCAATATGCCCTACAACAGAAAAATATTCACATGGCGGTCCAATTCATGCTTTTCATGAACATATCTCGAATTTTGCCAAATAATGTGCAAACCAAACTTCAAGTTATAGGGTTATTTTGTGCAGTCATTAGAGGCCTGGCTTAGACCATTAACTACTTGGGAACCCTGCTTATTAGCATATGATGCCTCCATACGGATCTCAGCAGTACTAGCTCAGTACTCTAACCCCCAGCCATCCGACCACATCAATATTACATTCAGCTTATTATATTGTGGTTAAGATTTAATAGCAATATCGCAGCATGGTTTTATATAATAATATAACAAAAATGTATCTACTACAAGGGGGAGCAGCGGCCTAGTAGTGCACTGCGCCATGAACCCGGCCACCCGAGATCGATTCCCAGCAATGCTTAAAATCAGTGATGAGTGATATCTGAACTGATTTTGGGACCACTGCTCTTCACAAACCCGTGCTTACCAGGGTGATGAAGTATGTTGGCATAACCTCCACGACTGACATGGCATGGGGAGGCGCTCATTCAGCAGTGGATTGACATGTTCATACCACATCACCAGACCATGACCTGTGATTCACACGCAGACCACTATTTTGCCTGACTCAGGCACAGTGCTAAATATACATGCACAACCTGGCCCAGTCACCCCGTGGGTGTCAGGTAGGAGGAGCCTTACTCCTCCCTCCTGCCCAGCCACTCAGCAGAGTCAACCTTGAGAACACCAGAGACCGTAGGGTTAGGGTGAGGAATTTTTTTGCTTACTGAAAGGCCGAACTTGACTTTCAAATAGCTTTGGCGGGCAACCACATATTAACACACACCCTCGTCACGTCTCTTAGTGCAAGAGGCCCTTTGGGTTGTGACAAAAGTGATGGAGTGCACTAAAATTCGTGTTGTAAGGTTATTAGTGTGGCTATATGATGCTTGCAGTTACAGATAACTATTGTGCATGCGCCGTTTTGAAGTGGTAGCTTCAATGTCACTACAGACCGTATGAAATGAAGCCGCTGGACGCATGGAATGAAGTCGCAGATCACATTGGGCCTGCGGGCCATGGGTTCCCTACCCATTCTAAAGGGCAGCGGGGTGCTGTTAGCGAGCCCCTATTAAGGTTGGCACAATACTTATATCCATAAGTTGCAGAGCCCGGGTACATACACTAGTTTTCCCCCTTTCAAAAATGTGTGGTATGGACAGAACCATGCCCAGTCGTCCTTTGTCTGCGCAGTGCTGATGTTCCCACTGCAACAGGTACTCATTTGGGGCTAAGTCTACCAGGCACGGACAGGCGCAGATACCAATTGCCACAGGTGTCCATGAAAAGTTTGCATCAATTGAAATGTTAGCCCTCTACTGCTTTGTTATATATATTGTTTTCTATTATTAATTCATCATCAGCCATGATCAATCCACTGTTGGATGAGGTTTCCCCAGACCGTCACCATCTCTCATGTTTATGTTATACAGTTAATTATATACCGTATATGAATGTTAATATTCGTGTGATTGTAAGCTACTGGGTATCTGATGAAAAATAAATCAACAAACGAACAGAAAAACACGTCTCATTGTTTCTATTAATGGCGCGAGGTGTAAAACACAGGATGTTTGGTTCGGTATTCCTCCCATTGATTTTCCAGGCGAAAAACCCCCGAACAAAAATAACGTATATCCAGCAAATTTTGCTTCACCCACTCATCCCGAAGAACAAGGCTGTTGTGAGTCGTCACCCTTTGCTCAGACATCAGTGCTCTCGTCTCCCTGCCCCTGGTCAAGTCCAAGCTCAAGACCTTTTCCTTCTCTGCCTATATATTTAATGTCTGCCTCTACAAAGTTAATAGGCCCACTCGTTTTGTACGGCGTCTTGATATGCGCTGGCGATGCGTGCACGTATGTTGAACTTCTTTCGCACCGTACGTAGCCAACCGTGCTAATCGGAAGAGGCTGTGTGACACCACACAATATTTCGATGACGTTATACTGGTAGGAACCTCCTGGTTACACCAGCCCACAGGGGATTATTGTGTCTGTCCGTCCGTCGTGCATCCAACAATGGGAGGGGTGGGGCTGGGTGGGGAGAGTGGGGAGGGGCTGGGTGGAGAGGGGCTGGGTGGGGTGGGGCTGGGTGGGGCTGGGTGGGGTGGGGCTGGGTGGGGTGGGGCTGGGTGGGGAGGGGCTGGGTGGGGAGGGGCTGGGTGGGGAGGGGCTGGTCACCCCGTGGTGCCCTTATAAAACTCAACGTTTAACCTACTCACGCCGGCTTGTGCCCGCCCTCACAGTCGGGCATATTGTGCTGAACACACCACGTGGTGCCGCCGTTGTTGACCCTGGCCATTGACCGAGCAACCCGACGTTCCTACCAGCTCCCTCCGCAGGAGAATGTGTTCCTTGCCTGGAACTCAACCTCTGCAGGGTGCTTCTTGGCCAACGGGGAATTGCAAAAAGCACTGCGTCACCGCTGCCAACCTTTCACCCGCATCGCAAGAAACCCAACACATTCGTCACTCACACAGTGCGAGTTGAGGGGGTGGAGGAGAGGGGGTGGAGGGGAAGAGGTGGAGGGGGGGGAGGGGAGGGGGTAGAGGGGAGGGGGTGGAGGGGAGGGGTGGAGGGGAGGGGGTGGTGGGGAAGGGGAGGGGCTGGGTGGCCCGCGTGGCCCACCCCCACCTCTCGCCGACGTCATTGCGATCACGTGGTCGCAGGCTATATATTAGCGCGCGATTGCGTGACACCGGTGTGAGACGCTTCCGCTGGGCTGTCAGGTGAGTGAGGTCACGTGACCCCCCCCCCTTCTCTCCCCCCGCCCCTCACCCCCCCCCACCTCTTCCCCCCCTCCCGTCCGCGCTTCACGCGCAGATGCAGTCCGTGTACAGTCGCTTGTGTTGTGAGTACACAGTAGGGCTGTGTGTGCGTGTGTGTGTTGAACTTTTTTGGCGCCGTACGTAGCCGGCCGTGCCAATGGGGAAGTGCCGTAGAGCGGTGTATCATCATACATATTGAGAACGTTGGCCTGGCGACCGACAGGCGAACGCGGACCTGAACGGTGACGGAGACGATCGCGTGTTTTTCTCTCGCAATGGCAGGGATAGTGTTCTTGTTGATTTCCTCACGAATTGAATGGATTCGAGGAGGGAGGAGGAGGAGAGGCCGTGTACCGACCTCTCGGTGTGCAGCCCTGTCCGAGCGTGACCCTTGCTGTCCCCAGGCCGTGAAGACGGGCTGTCGAGACCTCGTCACCTCAGAACCTGAATCTTTATTTTCTATACTGCAGGAGGAATCTGATGAGCTGTGAAGCTCTTCCCCCCCCCCCACACATGTGTCCAGTATGTGGCGTGGTTGTGAACGTTACAGCAACACACAATTACAAAAATACGAACGATAGCAGTGCAAAGAAAATGTAAACCAATCACTTACGGTATTTAGGTTATTTTTTGCTGCTATAAATTTACACACGATAAGCCACTTTGTTGAGCTATCATTTGTGGGCAGGTCGCTTTTGAGAAAAATAAGATAATAGCTCATTGGGCTTTACCTTTTAAGATACAAAACATTGTTTCGTTTAATTTGTGGGTTTTTTCAGTGATTTTTTTACTTTTCCTCTGCTTACGTTTTAACGTTCTGAACCCGGCCAGACTGGATATCTGTGAAAAAGAGCTTCATAGCTCATCGGATTCCTCCAGTGTAATTACACAAATATTGTGATTTTTAACTTACAAACGGCCCGAAAACTTGGTTTAATCGTCCGTGAGAGCATCTCAGCCGCACTAATCGGATACTAGAAGGGTGATAGCTACAATGTCTTAAACAGTTTTTTACATATATATAATGTCAACGCACTTGGTCACTCTTGAAGTAGCAGCAGATGTGACCTGAGCGTGTTAATGTGCGGTGGCCGCTAGAGCCTTTTGAAATCTCTGTTCGATAAGGAAAAGGCTCCACAGACCCTTCTGTAGAGTATTGTAATGCATAAGTACGGGACTGATAATTGTGGTATTCTCAATGGGGGAATGTTCTGCTGTGTAATTTATTTTGGGTTGCACCATTTACTTTGCTCTGTAACAGGGGAAAAGAGAGTAATCCGAAAATAACCGACGATTTAGGTTGTGGTTATAACTACAGTCTAGTATGCTGTCATTTGTTTGACAAACATTTGGAAGTTTAACACGTAGGCTTTCGCGACCAATATTATTCATAATAAAGGTTTTTGGGTTAGATCGCGATCTAACCCAAAAACCTTTATTATGAAAAACATTTGGAATTTGAATTCGGAATGTTTGTTTTGGCCTGGTCCAATCACTATTCTTAACACGAAGTACGTGTACAACCCTGATTGCTGTTTCTAAATATATCCAGAGTGTCAATCCTGACTCTGACACCGTCCAAAATACTAGCACTAAACATGATGTCCCTACTTCTAATGCTAATGCTTACCCTGTACAACTAACTCGAGCGATAATTTTTGGTTAGCGCAACTAGCACAACATTCTTCCCCACCAGCTTTAACATCAACCGCTGTCCATTGTATTGGTCCTTCCCTAACATTACTCTGCTCCTGTCACGAACAAGAACCCAGCCCCTCAACGGACTCCAAATTAGTGGTTGGTGTCTGAATCCCAAATTACGAACTATAATTTCAAATACATGGCAGTAGTCTCAGTCTATACCTACATGCCATCAGTTTAAGTCATGTATTCCATTCTTTTGTCACATGTCGGTTGCTTTCCATGTCATTTACGGTGTGGGCCATGTTCATTAAATCAAGTATGGATCATATATTGGTTTTATTTGTCTTAATCTAAAGTATATATGACGTCATTGGCATCAAATCTTAGGAACATTTAAGAAAATAAGTTTCGAACATTAGTACCTTTACTCGACATTGCCAGTGATATGCTTCTAGAAACTTAAAGCACGTCCTTGCAGCCAAACACCTAGCAGGTAAATAAACTGCATAGTATCTTGGTTACTAATATTTGTTGTTTAATAAAACGTGCCGTTCACATCTAAGCACTGTTAATCCAGAACTGGTCATGTGCGCACAACCGATGAATAATAAAATGTTAGTCACCAAGCGCAAGGTTCATGGAATGCTACCTTTGGCACAGTGTTCATAAATGAACTTCACATAACAACCTGTTGCATTTTTTTTGCTGGAAGCGCATCACTGAGTTCTCCATGGATATTATGTTTCGGCAGTGTATTGATTTATCGAGAGAGGTAGTCATTCAGTTTCTGGACTGTTAGAAGAATTCGGCGGTTTGAGTTTTAATCTCCGGCCACGGCTATCATCAGTCCTGAGTGGTATCTGAACTGGTCCTTGAATATCCCCCTTCACCAACCTACATTGGCTAGTGTGGTGAAGTTTAGTTTAACTATCTTACTACACAAGTACTTCATATTCTTAGCTCTTTCGGTAAAGTCACGTTGAAGGGAAACAATAAAATATATAAAATATATATTTTATATAATATATTATATAAAATATATATAATATATATTTTAGTATTTTATTGTTTCCCTTCAACGTGACTTTACCGAAAGAGTTACTGCAGTCACGAAAGCTTTAAATCAAAATTTTTACACAAGTACTGTTTGGCAAAATTCTAAATTTGTTACAATGTTCCTAGCGTGCGGCAGTTAAAAGAATGGTGCAAGTTCCTAATGCTCTCTGCCTCTATCCATGCAGCACTGTAAATGGGTGCACAATCCATCGCAGGTCCGCGTGTGGCGTGCTAAAGCATGTGTACTCCCACCTATTCAAAGACGTTTGGCCAGTGTAGAAGAATAGGCCAAATAACCTCTTTAGCAGTAGTTCTTAACCTTTACTACAGCCTTGCACCCCTTTGGTTCTCAGGGCATCTCAGGTGAAGAACCACTGCTCTAGAGGATCTCTCTAGCTTATTGTGGAGGCCCTCTTGCCAACAGTGGTGTGCGCAAACAATTTCGGGGCGAGTATCTTTTTGTGGTTGTTGTTGTTGTTTGACTTACATCCCACTGGGATTTGTTTGCACACAGCGTTGGTGTACGGTGCTTTTTTCAGGAATATTTTTGCTGTTTTTTTTCCATGGATTTTCTGTTTGCACAGTCACATAGTCACTTTAATATGTTTTTCTTGTTCGTGTTTTTGTTTGTTGTGGTTGCACCCGATTCAAGAGCCGAATTGCTCACGGGGCTATACCAAACTGAACTGAACTGTATTGTAGATGTGCGTGTTTTTAATACTTCCCTACACACAAAGTCAATAACTAAAGCACACATCACTTAATGTATTTTTGTCTATAAATTGTAAGATGTTGAAAATGTTTGTGTTAATGGTGCTCTTCTTATCGAGTACAAGGCTAAACGAGGATCGTTGTTGTGTTTGTGCAGTCTATCTCCAGAGCCATCCATACGGGCTGTAAAATGGCTGATGCCGTTGTCATGGGAGTGCCGTTCGACTTGGCTGAAGGCCAGCGAGGAAGCCCACACATCCCCTACAATGTGAGTCATTATATTGTGTGCGTTTTAGGATTTCAGCTTGAGCAGTGCACACTTTTTTTTTAACATTGTTTACACTATGCTGAAAACACAAATCAATAGTAATGTTTCCCCACATTACAACCTGATTATGATGACTGGCGGGTGGCAGAGGGTATGGCTGAAAGTTGACATTATACTTTCACGCTCTAATACAAAACGAATTATGAATCATAATAATACAGAAAAACCTTGGATTGCGAGTAACTTGGTCTGCGAGTGTTTTGCAAAACGAGCAAAAAATTGAAGTAAATATTAATTTGATAAACGAGTGAAGTCTTGCAATACAAGTAGTACGTATACGCTTTGTCTGCCGAGTGTAACGTGATCACAACTGATATATACGAGTGCTTTGATATACGAGTGCTTTGGATTACAAACACGTTTCCGGAACGAATTATGCTCGCAATCCAAGGTTTTACTGTATTGGTCATGAAAACCTATGTATAAAGTTAAAAAGGAGAGTATTCCGAAATGATCCTTTTTGACGGCGGCAAATGTGTAGTGCGTGACATTTTTAACCTATGTCATAGCCTCACTTTGCTTTTGCATTTGTATTCTTGAGCTGGGCATTTCTAAGCACTCCTGGCACTTTTTAATGATGAATAGAACGTATCGTAAATAAAACCCCTCTTCATATCGTGTGCAGGAGAGCATCGTGTCCCGCGTGGCGAATCTGCCCCTGGTGAGCTCGGCGTACGACATGATGGCGGCTGCCTACAGCAGCACCAAGGAGAACCACCCGTACGTGAAGTCAGTGTGCGAGGTGGCCGAGCAGGGTGTGCGCACGGTTGCTGGTGTCACCGCCACCACTGTCAAGCCCCTCGTGGACAAGTTGGAGCCTCAGAGTGAGTGGCCACGCGGCACTGGCACTGCATCTCCCACGATGGCCCGATGGGCCACTCACCACTTGCAGGCCCCCCGTGATTTTTCGTTGGTCGAGCTGTGATGAGTAAATTCAGAGCAAAGTATCACACACTTTAATATATCTTATTTATCTAGAAAATCCTCATGGAATCTGGAGACATTTTAAGGAAGGTTCTGCTTTTCAGGAAGGCTTCAAACGATTTTTAAATTAAAGGAGAATTACAGAGCTACACAGAGGATGGTCAGCTATACTATACGATTCATTAAATATAGCTCAAGTACCTACTTTTTATCCTGGATCGGTGCTAACTTGTGTGGAGGGAAGGATCAGTAGTGAGGAAACACTTTCAGTGTTAATGGTCTTGTTTTGGTCTAAAATATGTATGTTAATTTATTAATTAAAAACGGCTTATTCTTAGCAGAAAGTCCTTTAAGAAGTTATCTCTGCTTAAATTAGCATTCGGACAAAGCTCTTCTTTATTGACAGCCTTGACAGATGTAGAAATTCCACATTTCTCTAGTGGGGGCTGAGTTCATTGTAGGACTGGCCCCGTTAACTTCTTGCAAAGCGCATTTTTCCCTATAAACATGGTTTAAAAAAAAAATCTTGTCTTATACTACTTATTACCTCTCTGGTTCAGTAGCCGCACATGACCCAGAGATGGGCACCTCACCCGAGTTCAGTAACATGTTGACAGGCCACAAGTCACCCTTGGTAGCTGGTCACCTGCAGGCTGGTGGACGTACATTAGCATCGGTCTGGCTGAACGACAATTTCACTACAAACGTGGTCTCTCTCGCTTCCAGCCACCACATGAGGCAGCCCAATATTTCTTTATTTAGCACCATGTGTTTGAAATACAGCTGAATAATGAAATGTTTCCTGCTGTGGTTCATGTTACTTGTGTGTTTCACAATACCAGAAGTGTGAAAACCAGTTCAGTGGTTTAATGGATGGCATAAAATATAATTTGTGACCATAGCCTATGACTTGTTTTATGCATGTGGTTGCCCATACAAGCACTGTCCGGACTAATCCCTGTTTAGCTCCTGAGATCTGATGAGAACGGGTGCTTGTGTAAAATGGAGCAATTGTAAAAAGTTTATGGGAGGGGAAAACTTAACAAAACCTTGTGATATTCTGTACTTGTATTTGGTCGGGTGAACTTTGTCACACTTATTGTAATATGTGCGTTGGTATTTAAGGCTTGGGGAAGTGGTTGAGAGTACCGATGTGAAATGGTGAAGTGACTCACAATTGCACTGTTGCAGTGTTGGACTGACCTTTGCTCCACTTGATAGTGTAATAATTTATCAGCATCTTTTCATGTGTTTGAGGAGTATATAACTAAACGGTTCACTACTGGATAGTGAGGGGTTCTGACCGTACTTGGCCACACTGATTATTACAGGTTATTGAAGGTAGGGAGCATAAATGTGAAAGCACAGAAGTACAGTACAATAATGGATTGTACTGCACGGCCTACCACGTAGCCCTGCAATTAATCTTGTTTTAATTGTTTTTTATGGATTTTATTTGCCTTTTTACAGAAGTGAGATATTTTGAATGGTGTTATGCTTGTCCAAATAGTGGTGTCGTTACTTACATGCTTCCGTTTGCTGAGGAGGCTCTGCCTGGTCACCAATGGCTGCACACAAAGTTGTAGTAAAGTTTTTCACTTGAGATGGCCTCAATGTTATGAGGATTAACATTCTAGTTCAGTGACACCATTCTATACAGTGCATTATGCGGCAGGGGTGGAGTTGTGGCACAGTAGTTGGTGCACTGCACAATGAACCCTGCCTCCCCAGTTTGACTTCTGGCAATGGCCAATGTTAGTGGTGCACGACATCTGAATCGATCCCGGGCCCCCACTACTATGCCAATTTGGGGTGGGGAAGTCTGGCCAAATATTCCATGACCCGACACTGCATAGGGTGGCCGCCATCCAGCAGTGGATTGACAAAGCACTTTTTAAGCTTATGAAGGATTAATGTCAAGCACCAAGTGAGATGGGCGCCATGGTGGCGAGATGTTAACTACCTTGCCTGGTGTACAGGAGGTCGTGTGTATTTAGAATTGCATATTCTCCTCGTTGTCGCGTGGATTTTTCTCCGGGTCCTCCGGTTTTTCCCTCCACATTTAAAAACATGCATTTCGAGTATTTGGCTGCTGCCATAAGTTTCCACGTGATAAGCCACTACGTGGAGCTACCATTTGTGGTTAAGTCGCTTCTGAAAAAGAGCTATACAGCTCGGTGAGCCTTACATGGTAAAATAAAAAATAGTTTTCGGAGATTGTCCTATTGAAGTTACTCATGAGTACAATATATTTTTGTATAGGAAGCTTTACAGATCTAAGTGTTTTTTTTATCTCCATGACGTGACTCCAACGGCAGTAAAAAAGTGGATATGTACTTGTGTGTCTTTACAGTTTCCACTGCCAACCAATACGCTTGCAAAGGGCTCGACAAACTGGAAGATAAGCTGCCCATTCTGCAGCACTCCTCTGAAAAGGTGCAGTAAAACCTCACGATAAAGGTGGAAAACAAGCCAATACGTCCATTACCAATTAGTCTTACAAATGTGATGTGGAAATCCGTTTAGAAGGTGTACTGCTGGAAAAATGGGATAGAATCAGTGGTATGTAACCGTTTAAAAACAGTGGACCTTAAGTCCCAATTTTGTGCTTACCAACTCGTACGTAAAGGGCTTGGTGGCATTTATTTGATTGTAGCTTCAGGATAAAAGTTGGGTGTTAACCTCCCATCACATCTAAAGCCTGGTTGCTACTATGATGCAAACTTGGCAGTTCGTAAATTATTAAGCGTTACACACTTTATACAAACTGCAATGAGATCGGAGTATTGACCTTGCGCCAGTTATTTGCATAATGCTCAAGTACAATTTTTGGCTTTAACATAAAAAAACCTTGTACAAGTTAACAATTTCACCCATCCATAATCGATATTGTTCGCGAAAGCCTACGTGTTAAATTTCACCCATGTTGAAATGAGCAGTGGGCAGTGTTCATCTCAATTGGACAACTGTTGCTTTCCCACAAGGCAGCAGTCATTTTATTAGGATCTGAAAAGACTCGATACGATTTGATCCCTGCGTAACCTTTTCTTTTGAGATGTCTGTGCCAACTAACCAAATGCCCACCGGCCTTGTGCAGCTGGCAGCCAACGCCAAGGACATTGTCGCATCAACTGTCGGGGCCACCATGGGCACGGTGACTGACAGCATCACGGGTGCTGTGGACAAGACCAAGGGCGCGGTGAACAACAGCATGGAGATGACCAGGGGCGTCGTGTCAGGAGGGATGGACATAACCAAGGGGGTGGTTTTGGGAGGTGTGGAGATGACCAGGGGCATCGTGTCAGGAGGGATGGACATAACCAAGGGGATGGTTTTGGGAGGGGTAGAGATGACCAAGGGTGTGGTCAACAGCAGCGTGGATCTGACCAAGGGGGTGGTGTCGGGCGGGGTGGAGATGACCAAGAGCGTGGTGTCGGGTGGGGTGAGCACGGTGATGAACAGCCGCGTGGGGCAGCTGGTGACAGCCGGAGTGGATACGGCACTCGGCAAGACGGAGGAGTACGTCGACTACTACCTGCCGCCTGCTGATGCCCCCAACCACGCCGGTGAGATAGCGACTGCTGGCTCTGACAATAAATGTGGTATGTTGTTCACTAACGTGTTGTGATGATTAGCATTGTAGCTAGAGCTCTCAACTCCGTTCCAAGTTTAGAGGTGACTTTCAAAATCATTCTCTGGTAGTGTTAAAATGAGTAACGTTATTTAATGCGTTTAAACGACCTGCTGGTGTCCAGAAGGTCCATGGAGGCTCACAGTGATGGACCGTCCAGGTTGGACGGCCACTGCGACCTGGTCGGCCCTCTAGGAGGGCAGGGAGTATTTCCAGGCTAATGAGGCCCATGACCACATACTGCCACGTGTGGCAGGTTGAGTGCGCAAGTTTGGCAGCTAGTAAAGGAAGACGAAAATAGCGGTTGGGGAGAGCTCCGTTGATACTTGTCAGTGCGAGGGTGCAAGAAGTTATCCAAAACAAACACCTGGTTTTGTCAATCCAATCTCTGGCAGGCAGTGAAAACTATTTTTGTAGGAAGTCAGCAGTGGTCGTCATATAGGAAGACTGGTGTCTACCATGTGAATATAGAATTCTCAACAGAGCTCAGACAGTGACGCTGTTTCATCTTTGGGTTCAAATTTCCCACCCCTTTTCATGGCCAGCAGGTGGCGGTGTGCCCATATTCACCGAGTGTACTGCACTGCTCCCCTCTGTGTGCAGGAGAGGCAGGGGATGCAGCGCCAGAGAGGCAGCTCATGGCCGGACAGGACCCTCAGAGCTACTACGTACGATTTCACTCCCTCTCCGCCAAGGTGCGGCAGCGCCTGTACGTGCAGTCTGTCGATCGACTGCGCAAGGCCAAGATACGCAGCCAGGACACCATCGCGCAGCTCCAACACACGGTCAACCTGGTACTTGGATTTTTGTGATTTATTTTGACACCCCAGTATAATGCACAGAATGCCCAATTACTGAATGCGTGTGTTTTCAAAACAGTTGTCAAATTTTTAATCTATTGTCGCAGCCCTATCTATTCTTCCGTTTACGTCATAAGAGAGATGGCAATGGCTTGGGGGGAGGCCTTTGTCCAGCAGTAGACCGCATATTATCAAACGAAGCCTAAAGTGACAAATTATTTCAAATACCATTGTCTGGCTTTTATAGAATCTAAAAAGGCATTTGGTTCAGGGAAAACTAATGCAGTAATTGATGCAGTCCTCATAAATCAAGGCCTGAAAATAATGATATACAAATCTATCAAAATATCAAAACCAATATGGTAGAAAAAGGCAACAAAATACAAAGCATTCAAATGTTTCAGACAAGGAGATGCGCTGTCACCATGACGAGTCACAGCAACATGGAGATTTTTTTTTAAAATTGGTACAGTAATGAGTAACCACAATGACTCGTCTCTACAGACAGGGAGGAGAAGGGCATTGCAGACTAATTTTGTTTACCCAATCTGCTGGATGGGGCAATTGAGCCTTGGTCACGTAGACTTGGTTGCGTAGTGAATCTTGTGTTTACGTCAAAGTAATTACCGGCGCTGTTTACGAAATGTCGCATGGCCTATTGCACAGTTGGACAATGTCCAGTGAGCTTCCCCCCTCCTGTTTTTGCACAACCACTTGAGCCGATTTTTTTTTGTGTCGTACCTGCCCGTAGATTGAATACGCCAAGACACACCTGGACACTGCCAATCAACTGGTTCAAGATAAGCTGCAGAGCTCTTGGCAGCAATGGAAAGGGACCAGCCCGGGTGAAGGCGAGGAAGAGGGTGCGGAGAACGAATCTAAGGTTAACACCAACACTTATACAAAAAGCTGAATTTAAAAAGAAACATTTGCATTAATGTCAAATTTGTGTTGTGCGGTGGAAATTACCTTCTTGGTGGGGGCTGCATGTATATATGAACGTCTTTCGCACCATACGTGGCCAATTTTGCTAATCGGAGGTGCGGCGGAAGGACAACAAACTAAACGCAAAAAGCAGTTCTAAAGAAATTAGTTTTCACTTTAGATTTAAAAGTGCATAGCTCCAGTGGCCTCCTAATATCGGAAGGAAGAGCATTCCAGACAGCCGCGGGAACGCATCTGAAAGTGCGTGATGCAGTGACCGGCTGTGTTCGATGGTTGATAGTTCATAGAGTCATCAAATCTTTGTCTGTAAGACAATGTCCGACTGCATAAAGTGTATGCAGGAGGGAATGCGCCAAATTGGTTGCTGCCTTGTCTGTAATGCATTTGATTGTCATTGCCTATTGTACGTGGACTTTATCGGGACCGCCTGGTTTCGTCTTTTAGTACAGAAATGTACCTAAAAATATTGTGCCGAATATCTTGCGCAGTATCCTGATTATGGGTGGGGCTTCATGAGGCTGTCCTGGGTGAAATAAAAAAAAACTCTTGTAAGTCTGTCTAGCTGAGTTGAGCTGCGGTTTGAGTGCTAGTCTAAAATTGGAAGGTTGTAAATTCAAAGCTTAGCTTGTTATTTGTTCAGCCCATAATTGATTTGAGTACCAATTGGTGGGAAGTATAGTGGTCAGCCTATGGATAAACTAGTTCTTCCATGCGAATGTGTAGTTTCCACCAGTATCTTATGGGCCACCATTGTAGATAAGCACCAGCCAAGCCAGTGAGCCCCTTTTGAGAAGAGAGACACTGACTTTGTGCGAGTGCCCTTCCACTTGACTCTTACACTGGTGATTTCCTTGCCGTTGGCGCGCAGTCTGCTGAGTCCAGGACGCTGGCGATGGCTCGCACCCTGAGCCAGCAGGTGCACAAGTCATGCGTGTCTCTGGCCACCAACGTCCGCGGTCTCCCACAGAACGTGCAGGACCAGGCGCAGCGCGTCCGCCAAAACGCGGACGCCCTCGTCGCTGCCTTCCGCAGTACCACCTCCTTCAAGGTATGAAATTAGATCGCCTTATTTGTGGCCTTTTCAGTGTTTTTGAATTTTTCAGATTGTTAATTTTGGTTCCTGATTGCAACTTGTGTGAAATTCATTCTCTTTGTGGATACGCATCGTGTTATCCTAAGAATACAAAAACCCATAAGCCCCTAAATTGACTAGCTAACGCAACAGCGTCGTGAAGTATGTGTCAAACAATTCCCATGAACGACACGACATTGGGAGGCCTTAATTCAGGAATTGTTGGACAAAAGGCAGTAAATTTTAAATAAAATATATTAATTCCTGAAAAACACATTAATGTCCATTGTTGAAATATGGCCATTGGTAAATAAAATGTAAAATAATGCTGAAAGTGAATGCGTAGTGTTTCCGTGTTGAAATGAGCATTGAGTGGTGCTTGGCTGTGGTGGCTCGGAGCCAGTCGGAATATTTAACATTCCTACAAAGGTGCCAGTCTCCGCATGTGCCAATCACCCATGACTTCCAACGAAGTGATGCTCAGTGTATTGACCCTGGTGGGGTTATGACCTGGGTCAATCCCAGCCGTTATTTCAAATTGCAGCCACCCGATTGTCCTACACGAGAACCCTAACCACTCTGCCACCGCCTGGAGTCGATCTCCAGCATGGTTTTGTGGGCAATTTGCAAAGACTAAAAAAAAAGTTATGTCACCTTGCTTTTGCAGGACATCCCGGCGCATCTGTTAACCCGCAGCAAGGAACAAATATCGCAGCTCAGCATCTCCATGGAGGATGTTGTGGACTACTTGCTTAATAACACGCCCTTCAACTGGATGGTAGGTTTCATCATCACCCACCAGCTGGAAGAGGGCACCCCGCAAATCGGGGAAGGTGAGGCTCCAGCCGAAATGGACACACAGGCCCCGGAGCCAACAGAGCACACGCAGTGTGAGCACTAACGTGTGGCGGCTCTGAACAGGCCAGTGGCGCTTGTGGTGTTCTTTATAAACTAAACTAAACTATTTTCATTTTACCGAGTATGGCTCATCGAGCTTTATAGCCATATTTTCAAGAAGTGATCTGGCCACATATGATCGATCGATGTGGTTCATCGTGTGGAAATTTAAAGCGGCCAAATACTCTAAAACCAGGACTGAGGAACCTCTTCCTTACTGAGGGCGACTTGAAAAAACAGTGCAATGCATCAACATCTTACACAGAAGAGCATTCCCCCAAAGAGAACAATATAATACAAACTCGGTATAACTGTGTTTATGCCTTACAGTACGCCATTTTAGGAAGGTTGGGGAACCCTTTTCTTCATGAGCCGAATAAGACTTGAAATAGCCACGCCTCCTGTCACCTTTTTTCACCGCAAAAGGCCCTTGCAGTTACAAGTGACATCGTACAAAATGTATACTTGGGTAAAAAAATATTGCCGATTTTTAGTCCATTTACGATGATTTTAGTGATGGACAAATATAGTTTCCGAACCATTTAAAAGTGATAGGTCCCTTCTGGGTGTTGGCCGTATGAAATTCAATGGTGGGGCCATATTCTGCTCGTAGGCCATAGGTTCCACACCCATGCCATATCCTGGCCTGTTGTTTTTTTTGGAAACTAACTTTATAGACCGTGGCCTGTATCAGAGTGCTTGCATGAAAAAAACTAAAATTGAGATTGCTCTCTTGTCTCGCTAATTTATTCTAAATGAGTATTTGCATTTCCTTAATGAAGGTTATTTTTCTGGATGTCTAAGCATGGATTTCTTAAGGGAAAGGATGCACTTACGAACTAAACTGCCTCCTTTAATGAACATTGTGTTATGAAGTGCATGGAATGTAAATGCTGACTTTCTCATACCTACCAATGCGAATAATTGGTAATGGTGGGCTATGCATTCCCCTCCTACCATTTCTCTCTGCGATGGAATGGTGCGTAAACAGCCATTGGCTGTCGACCTCTTAAAGCCACGCTCCTTGTGGCCCTCTCCCCCCTAATAATGCTGCACGTCTCGTTTCTCCAAAATTGTGACGTCATTTTGCTGTCTATTTGGGAATAACCTGCACTCCTATTGCGATGTTTACATTTTGAGGCTAAAATGTGGAAGTTGATATTCTCTGCGATCTTGCAACATCTAAAACAATATAATTTTAACGATTTGGAGTGAAAAGTCTGCTGTAACGTTGACAATTATATTATTCATCTATCCAAACACTTAATGCAAAGCTTGCCATAACATCCATGTGCTGTGCTTCGTGCTGCACGAATAATAAGAATGATAGTGGTAAACTTCTTGGTTGGCAGAGATGAGTATTTTTATTCCTGAAACAGTTACATTTTTCTTCCTGCTTTGCACATTTTATCTAATTTGTTAAACCTATCCTCTGCCTGTTTTAAACTGATGTGAACCACTGAAGCAACACAACTATTCTGACTGCCATATGAATTGAGCATTGCTGCAATATTTTTTATATAGGTCTTAATTAGAGGATAACAAGTAGCTGGCAACTGGCATTGTAATGAAATAAGAGCAATATATCGTTTTATTTTCTTTAATGTGAAAAGATATTTTGTTTCTTACATTTCTTGCAGTACATACAAGTTGAAAGTAATTGCTAGTAAAACAGAGAAATTGCATTCCAGCCAATCTTGATTGGATGTCGAGGACATGAATAATTGTAGCTAATGATAATATTAGCATTCCAAAGTAATATGAAGCATTTGCCTTGTGTGAGTCTGCTACCGCATGCACAAACATTTATCAGGAACATTGTTTTTGCATGCATATAATTAAGGAGTGAGGTTTCCAAGATAATGAAAAACAAGAACTGTGGTTATCAATGTCGTGCTAGGTTTTCAAGTACTTTTGTAATTTTCCAAAATTGACAATGAGTTGCAGATCCTTGAAAAATTGGTTCCTTGATGAGCAGCCTGTTTGGAAAAGACCATTTTAAACAAGGAAAGCTTCGGTTCTATTCGGTAAAGTCACGTAGGTAAAAAATAAAACAACAAAAATCACGACGTTTCGGCCACAACACAAGCGGCTTTCATCGGGTGAAGGGACCAGACTGTCTCGAGGACAGCGCTGGAGTGAAGAGACAGTCTGGTCCCTTCACCTGATGAAGGCCGCTTGTGTTGTGGCCGAAACGTCGTGATTTTTGTTTTATTTTTTACCTATGTGACTTTACCGAATAGAACCAAAGAGTATGGATCCTTGCAGTCACGAAAGCTTCAAATCTAGAAAAGGAAAGGAACGCTTCATCGAGTCTTACCGATTTAGGGGAGGGCCCTGCATTTATATGTTTGGCCAATTCCATGATTTAGTGTTTATAGCACAGGTCTGAAATGTATTTCCAACTGACAAGTCAGAATTGTTTACCCACATATTTGCTGCTTGATTTTCATTTGTTGCTTACACCTGACAACACTCAACATATGCTGTAAGTTCACAAGATTTGTCTATATTGGCATGTTCTATCCGGTATTATTTTTAGGAAATGTTTACTGTCAAATACGCTGGCTTATAAGATGGGTTGGTATGTGATGGTAATTTAATGACAGCGTTGCATACTTGGTTACCAGTGACTTAAAGCACGAGGAGGGTTTACCAATGCTTATATTCCTAAATTAAAATATATTCTTAATCTCATTCTAATGCGTCAAGCCTTATGTGTAAGAATTTATATTTTCTCAGTGTATGTTGTAAGTAATGGATTTGTATCAGCCCTGCAGCCACGTGAGTTACTGTCTTTCACTCAATAGTGGCAGTCTGTCGAATTGGTGGGGTGGAGTGAATTGTTCCGCCTGTATGAAACACCAGTGGGTGGATATGTTTGTTAAAAAATGTGTATACTTTTGGACACTTACTCATTGCTCTGTGTTCATATTACAGTGAAGGTATTATGGCCCAATATATATACCTGTGCATCTGCTGTATTACGGCAAACCCCACAGCCGCTTCTCCAACCTACTCTCGTTCTTTAGACGGTGAATTTGGATATCAGTGACCTGCAGTCGGAAAATGGAGATGAGGATGAAGAAGAAGTTGTTATGGGAAATGGATCGGCTGTATTCGTCCACTGAACAAAAGAAATCTTGCAGTCTTTGTGTTTGCCAGAGTTTGTCATTTTAATTGCCACTTGTGATATTTGTGTTTCTTGCATAATTTAAAAATGGATCGCATAATACTCTTTGCGGTTAACGTTGTGACATGCTTCAGTGTATGCAAATAGTTGCATAAAGTGGAATGTTTGGCCTTTATTAGAACGATCTAATTTAGGGTTAACATCAAGATCGTATGGAATGTCTAAATTGAATTCAAAATGGCAAGTCAGATTTGAAAAACATTATGCCAACATTATTTTACATCCTTGTTGCCTTACTGACTGCAATTTTACTTTAATTTATATCAACATAGTACTTTTAATTTGACAGGTTTTTTTTATCTTTTTGCAAACTATGCTCACTTAACCTGTGATCTTGTTGTCGGAAACCGGGTTTTTTCTTTTGTTGTTTCCTTATGAATATAATTTGTTGGCACTGCCAATGTTAAATACTAAAGCTGACCAGTGACTAGCTTTTTGTTTCGAGGGTGAATGCATGCTGTCTGTTCATTGCATTTTCAAGTTACGTGGGTATCTTTTTACTTTACAGCCTTTGGTACAAGACTTAAAAGTGGTGTTTATTAAAATGTTAAGGGTTATCACGCAACATTGTGCAGTGGTATCTGCGTCTGGTGTTGCACAATTCAAGTGCCCCAACATATAACGTCTGCAAAGGCAGACCTGTGCCATACATTGAAAAGTACTACTGAACTCTGGTTTATGGCTGTTTGTTTTTATAACTTGTTAACACTGGAACAGATCTCTTCATGTGCTGGATTGATCCAACTGGAATGATTTCGTATAAGTGCCTTATTAAAAAAAAATGTCCTTTGCATCCTGATGGTGTGTTCTTAATAGCCTGTCTGGCTACTTGATGTATTTGTTTACGTGGTATGAAACATTCAGCCTTAAGCTGTCTTCCAGAAATTATGACCTTAACACATCAGCCCATCTTACATTGCTCCTCTCATGCTCATGTATGCCAGTGGTACATTGGGTTTCGGCATGGTCCCTGGTGCAGGTGCAAAGGAATTAAAGGGACCTAATTTCCACCCCCCCCCCACTATTCATAGCATAGCCCGGTGTGCCAGGGTGGGCCATGACACGTGCACTGCCTACATACTACCTTTTTGTTGGTTCTTATTCAGTGACCACTTTCCAAGGAAGATGAACGCTTTGTACAACCGTGTAAACGGGTTGGTGTAATGTATTCTTAAAGTTGATGTGCGTTCCTCTCGTTTGCTTGCAAGTAGAAGCCCCAATTTTGTTTAAAAGTGCAGGTTTATTCCTTGTCTATATTCAGATGTAGCAAGTTAAAACTGCTCATTCAATCGTTAAAAGATGAGAAAATATTGTTTTTATTATATATTGTTTCCATTAAAATTCCAGAGTATACTGAAGCTTTATAATCCTTTACATTATTACAAAAGACATCTCATCACGTCAAGCGTAGCGTCACAATAAAACTTTTGCATTAAATCACCGATAGCACCGAGGTCACTGTTCAAACGCATATAATCCAAAGGCAGATAACCAATGCGGGACAGATCCATCCAGAGTCCAAAAGCTAAAATCGCTGCAGAAAATTTTACAAAAGATTAAAGTGTGAAAAGAAAAAGCATGGAGAGGTGCATGCTTGGAATTGCGTTGATACGGAAAGAGGAACGCGTGTATTATAAAGCCCACGCAAGATAGAAACATGGGCTTTTAAAAGGGATGATGGCCGTTGGTCGAGACTTAAAGATGGAGTGACGGTCAAAATGAGTGAACATGTTCGAGAGGATGTCAGACTCGGGGTGGCATGTTGAAATTGGCGTGTGTGAAGGAGCTCGATGGATTGTTGTAGGAGAGAAATGTGGCGGATTGTGGAGACCACCCACCAATAGATATATTGTGGATGATAGTTACTGTGAAATGTCAGAATTATATAAACGTCAAGGTCTCCTGCTCAAATGAGATGAAGGTTGTTATCACCATTCGTAGCCCTCGGTCCAATTTGAAATTGTAACGGTGGAGGAGCCGGTCTCCATATGACTACGGTTGACTTTACCCTAGAGAGGTGCTCACTTTATAGACCCTGGATGGATGAGCTCACATTCCCATTGTGAACCGAGTCCAATACACCCACAGCACCACCGTGCCAACGGATGGCATACATTTAAATTGTGCACTGCAGAGGTTATTTTATGCGTTGACATTTTCCCACCGTAGAGGTAAACTTACTTCCATATGTATGGATAAATGCAAAATGTAAAAAACCCTGCATGCTATGAGAGTTTGGCTTGCAAAAGTGATGTGAGCTCTTTACTGTTTAAAGTTTAGTAAAGAGTTGTAGGAAATGGATCATTACCACTGACCTTATACTTACTATGAATCACAATCTGTGCCTAGTCTGTTGATTAAAAGGCATTCGACTCGATGGATATTGATGCAGTCATCCAAACGAGTATACTTTGTTATGCATTATGATACAGAATTAACAATACGCAGTGAATTTATTTTGTGCTTGTCACTTGTGATTGTCACCTTAGTATCAGAATATACCAAGTTCAGATTGTTGTCAATCTCGTCCAATTAGTGTATCACATATCCAGTGTCATTAATACATCCTGTGGAATAGCCGTCCCTAGACGTGTGAATGTACAATTTCCACACTGTCTCTGGGCCGCCAATGGAGGAGATGAGTGCTTTGCTTGAGCAGGGAGACATCTGGCAGCTGGAGTCACCGTGTATCTGATCCTCACGCTCACAATGAGTGGATGCGCTTTCTGCCAAACACCACAGCCGACACGCTGCGCACAATTCCTCGAAAGCCGCCCTTCCTGCCATGCAGTGCGGGATGCACAAAGGCAACTCCGTCGTTCGTAACACTGGCTCCACCAGCGGCACCACCACTTACACTAGAGCCACGAGCACCGCCATCGGCATGAACACCATCAACGCCAGTGCACGGCGACGGCAGCAGCGGCAGGAGGGCATCTCGTGCCAGCGCACCCAGCGCGCGGTGCACTCCGCCCGCCACGCCGGCGTCGTAATCGTCGGCGGCGGACACCTCGACGAAGGAGGCGTCCAACGCGAGCGCCAGCGCGCGCCCTTCCCAGCTCGCCACCGTGCGCCGGTGCTCCAGGTCCAGCTTGTTCCCCACAAGCAGCAGCGGCGGCGCCGGGGCCAGCGCCGGGACCTGGGTCACCCCCGGCTGCGGCAGGGACCCGGCCCGCCGCCGGTGTTCCCGCGACCGCCCGCCCCGCCGCCAGCAACAGCCGCCGTCGCCGCGGGACCCCGGTGGTGGACGGCGTCGAGCCGCCTGGCGCAGGAGGGAGCGGTGGGAGCACAGCGTCGCGAATGTGTCTCGCTCGCAGATGCTGTAGACGAGCAGGAGGGCGTCCGCCCAGCCCAGAAGCCGCTCCAAGTCCTGCGACGGGGGACGTCCTCGCTTTTACTCGTTTCATCTCAAGCTCGTCGTGAGCGGAATGGAAATTATCTTGACGCCACGTGTGCACGAAGAGCTTCCGTTATACGGTTATTGTCAAGATCGCCATCAAAATTGGTTGGCACCATGTTGGCAATGATATGCGAAAGGCGTTCGCGGTTGTGCTGCGCGGCTCTCGGATGTGTTTTCGGGTTCTACCGCATGTTGCTGCCACCCAGCTCGTGGAGTGAAACGTTGGCAACACACGGCTATAGCACAGGAGGGAACCATGGTGTCCATGAACTGCTCCATTATAAAGTTATATATATAACGGCACTCCATAAAATTGCATCCAGACTGAGATATAGTATAGACATATGCACCGACACGTCAGCGATTTGAAGCTATGTAACGAGTCACTGCAGATCAAGGCAAGCTGTCAACACCTGGTGTCCCAGTGTCCCAAACCCACAGTCCGTATTTGAGAAATCACCTGACGCTGCTTTGCTAGGTGCTTGACCTCAGTTCATTGGAGTGAGTGACCCACACGTAACAAGACATTGTGACCCATTTAAAATAAATGTTATATTATCTCCATCTAAATATGCCAAACGTTTATGGACAGCCATCTTGAGATGCAGTTGCATTTATATGCTATATAAACAAAAAACTATATGAATCTGAATATGTGGATCTCTTTAAAATCCACGTATTCCAAATGCACTACAGTATTGGCATCACGACATGAGATGGACAATTCGTGTGCATCTCTCACAGGGCCATGCATCAGCCGTGTGTTTAGAGGGCAGCCAGTGGAAGGAAGGTGGTGTAACAGAAATATGCATTTTGCGCAAGGTTCGGCCTCTAAAAAGTTACGAATGCAAAGCCGAAACAGACACGAGGGCTTACCTGGTCATGAAGGGATGGGGAGTCCCAGATGTTTACACAAACCTCTTGGCCGTCTATGATAATGCTGTGGCTGTAGATGGACTCTACAAAGACAAAGATTCCCCGTATAGCCTTTAAGCAGACGTCTGGGGTAAGTGCTGTTCGCGGGGTGGCTAGCACCACGCCCGACCGCCTTTGTCTCCCCAGTGGCGATCCTTACCACGCCAGATATTCATTGGAGGCTGAGTCGACCTAGGAGAGGCCCAGTACCGGTTCATATAATGGTTACTGGTGTTGGCCGTGAGCGGAAATCGAACTCGGGTAGTTGGGTTCATAGTGCAGTGGGCTTACCGCTCTTCTGTCACTCCCCAAATTGACTCAACACCACCACCACCACCATACAGAGACAACCTCGTTACTATCATAACGCTCGAGGAGCCGTCTATAATTTTACGAGAAGCCTGTTGCAATATAGACAAAGTCAGTTTAACACGTAGGCTTTCGCGACCAATATCATCCATAATAGAGTTTTTTTGGGTTAGGTCAGGTAAATGTATACATGTGTCGTTAAAACCCGCCACCACCCGACACAGCCAACTAGTAAGGTTTGTCACGTAATCTCCCCCCCCCCCCCCACATTGTGCAAGAGCACAGAAGTGTGGTCAACACATCTACGCCTCTATATGAGGAACGAAACAGTAAGACTTCCCCACAAATCTGGCTGTCGCCTGATGAAGCTAGTTGTAATTACTGGCGAAACGTCGTACTCAGTTTGTAAATGTTGTGGCTTGGCTCTTCAACACACCGGTTAGTGCTGTACTAGTATACTACACTATATACTACATTACTATACACTACACTATACACTACACTATACACTAGAGCTGTACTAGTGACGAATTGGCCACGTTCTGTTTACGTGACAACCCTTACTAGTTGGCCGTGTCGGGTGGTGGCGGGTTTTAACGACACATTTATATATTTACGCGATCTAACCCAAAAACCTATATTATGGATAGACAAAGTCACTATGAAAACCGATGTCGTTAATGAATAACAAAAAATATCTACTGACTGGCTAAAAATGTCAATACTATATCCTTATCTTTTTCATGTACTCTCTATGACGATCATGAAGAAAACATAAAAATGGTTGCTTTTCACAATGTCATACGAAAGAAGAAGACTCCCCCAATTATATTCAAATTGTCCTATTAACGTCATGTCGCGACACGAGAAAGTTTCCTCAGGAATGATATTATCAGTGAAGGTTGCACCACGCTGCGCCATAGTTCTGCCGCGGAAAATAAAGTCACGCAATCATTCTCTTTGGTTCTTTCGGTAAAGTCACGTAGGTATAAAATAATATAAAGCACAACGTTTCGGGCGCAACACAAACGTCCATCATCAGGTGGGATCGCATGGTCTGCTGCTGAGGCAAACCATCGCTTTCCCACCTGATGGACGCTTGTGTTGCGCCCGAAACGTCGTGATTTATTTTCTACCTACGTGACTTTACCGAAAGAACCAAAGAGTATGGATTCCTGCAGTCACGAAAGCTTCAAATCACGTTATCACTTCTGAAATCGGTTACATATGCCTGTTTTATCCACACAATGGAGCATATGTCTGCAAAATGTTTATCACGTGTCAATTACAATAATATATATTTTTAATCTAAAGGCTGGAATGTATCCAAATGAAGCGAATAAAAAAGCGTTATATTTGTCTGTGTCGTCATTGGTGAACAGTCCACCAGTTGACTTTACTTGAGATCTCAGCAGTGCCAGCTCAGCATCTACAACACAATTGTATGCCCCTGAGCCACCCACCTGGTCACTTTAGCTGACCACGGATTTTTTTTTACAAAATGCTCGACGAACCAGCCGCTTTCAGACGCATTTACTTTCTAAAAACTTTCAAATGGTGTGCGATCGCAAATTCACTCACTCACCTTTATCTCCATATTCTCCAATGAATCTTCCAGTCAAAAATCGAACGGTCAATGCTAGAAAGTATACAACAAAACATTAGCTTGGAATAAATGATACACCATCCGATAAAATGTCAATAACATTGGAAAAAGTTACATTAGGTGATGGTGGCAAATACAGATGAAAATTTATGAAAATGAAATTCCCCTTTGCATCCCAAAGTCCCTTTTACATAACATTAAATTTGAAGAGTTACTTTTTATTTTACCCAAACCTTTTCATGAGCATCCTACTTGGGTTATTTGATCAATTCAATGTATGTTCTGAATATGTTTAACATGAGTGAGTAAATGGGAAACATCTCAGATAGGCTAGCATACTTTTAGCTCTACTGTTTTCTACAGGCATCCATGCACATCATTTCCTGCAAGCCATGCCGATGGTTGTCTCACAAAGTGGCTTCACAAGCCTGACTCTTCCGATGAAGCCCAGAAAGTCAAAATCGGCCCAGCATGTGCTTGCTTAAATAAATGTTGCTTGATTACATTGGTCTGCCTGATGGACGAAAAGTGTTTTATTTATTTATACTGCTTACACAGAATATACTTTGCTGATTGCTAAACACCGAAAAGCTGGGCAATTATGGTTCCGATATCGGCTTTGGAAAAGGCAAACCCAGTGCTAAAGGCGCAACACTTACCAGATTTACCGACGTTGTCAGCTCCAAGCACAGCGATGTTAACCTCCAGCCTGCTCCTGCCCAGTGATGACAGCATCGTTGATGGTAACCGTAGGTAAGCCATGAACTGTTTAAAGTACCCACATCAAAAACCACACGCACGCTCGAGCTCAAGTGTCTGGGCTGGATTTATTTTTGCATTAAAGCTTTGAATAACGCAACTGCCCGTTTAATATATACAGAGGGAATGAGTCATCAACAACAGGTCCAATGGGGATGGGGCACGTTTGTTTACAGAAATTAAATCCGTGCATAATTATCATGAATCAGTTGAAATAGTCATCACCATTGCTCATACACCATTTTTTTCGCTCCATGCCTGTGTTTTAGCACAATGCAGGGAAGAATGTTCGACAGTTCATAAAAGTAGGCTTAGGCAGGACACGTGACGAGGAAGTATGATTGCTGGTGGTCAAGGCTAATGACAGAGTAACAGTCAAAGGAGAGAACAACTTCGAGAGGGTGTCCATTGCAGAGATTGACCAATGAAATCAGCTCATGTACAAGCGAAAACTAATTTTCTTTAAAACTGTTTTTTGTGTTTAGTTTGTTGTCCTTTCCCCGCACCTCCGCTTAGCACGGTTGGCTACGTACGGTGGGAAATAAGTTCAGCATACATACACACGTACATACAAGACGAATTGCTACATCGCAGGACCGTGAGAGATGACGCTGGCTTGGGGATGCCTTCATCCAGCAGTGGATTGATCATGGCTGATAATGGTGGTGGTGAAGTGATGTTAATAATGTTGATAGTGGTGCGCAGTTGAAGTATGTATGTTGAACTTCTTTCGCACCATACGTAGCCAACCGTGCTAATCGGAGGTGCCGGGGGAAAGGACAACAGTTTTGTTTTCGACAGAAACTTGGAGGAACGAAAGCCATGAGAAGACCTGGAAAGTCTTGAGATGTGAGTTGTGGAATCCAATGGAGACAATCGGTTGAATAGAGAGAAAGAGTAATAAGGATATTCTAGGGAAAGTTCAAGAGGACAGCATTTTCATTTAAATAATCCTTAAAGCAAAACATGGCGACTGTGCACATTCTCAGAGATGGGAGGAAGTTCTGGAAGGATTTTGGAAAAGAGGCAAAGATACAACACTTAAAACTGCTACTTGACAACTTGAAATGGGCCATACAGTGAAATGAAGAAGCATACATTATACTAATTAGAAGAAAGCCCACGGTTTAGCTGAAGGGCTGCAATTTACGAGACAGCTGGATGACTAAAAAAATAATATGGGGGGAGTGACATTGCCCGATGCTGAACGAAATGTAAAATTGCTTCTAAACAAACTTCACACCGCACCAATGCTGCCACCTTGTGGCTCCCAGTGAGGTGAATGCGGTGTTCTGTCACTGCTTTGCCACTGTTTGGCCGCTCTCGGTATACATGCGCATTAAACAAAACAAAAAAACTGAACACATTCGTGAATAACACTGTGGCCTTAAAAAGAAAAATATATAATACGTAACGTTTCGGTCAATGGTCCGACTTCATAGTTCGCATGTAACTAGGTCATCATCTGCCTTCTCTGGAAGCCATCGAAGTCGACTGTACTTCCCAGGAGAAATCACAGTAGTTACATGCGTCGACTTGCTTTTGAAATATATGCAATACCCTTCTTCCAGAAGCCATTAGGTTGACATTCCTGAAGACTACCTCTTCCACAACAGATATAAGCTCTGTCTCCACGTATATACATAAAGCATGTTTGAGTCCCATCAGCCGGTTGGCTTACCAGACCAATATAATTATCAAGCAAAACGCTCGGTCTCATCGGCAGGGCTTGTTAAACTAATGCTGCTCGTTTGCCAAATGTTGTTGGCAAGAGCAACTCCGTTGAAATGATGGGTCCCTGTTCAACGTGTAGTGTTTATAATGACGAATAAACTTCTTATGAGGCACACTCTGTTTATTGTAATACTTGTCTTTACACAGTCCTTAACACACAGAGGGGTTTACGGTCCCCTTACCCGATACCCTAAGAAGGTACAGCCTCCGGACTTAGCGTGACCTACACACAGGTCTCTTCCTAACCTAAGGAGGTACAGCCTCCTATCTTGGCGGGACTTACTCACACGTCTACCTCTATCCTAGAGTCCTCCGGCTGGGACCTAGGGGAGGCTATCTGACCCACCGCTGGCCCGGCAGGTCTTGACCACTGGATACGCCAAGCCTTAGCCCTCAGAAGGGCTGGAAGGCTGGGTCCAGGATCCTGGCTATCTTCAGCCCGGGCTTCAGTCTTCGTGTAGGGAGAGAACTCCCCACGCTCTGCGTGGTCACCCTTCTTATACCCGTTTGTGGCCAGGTGTAACCAATCCCACATTTCCACGTGGAACTGTCTGATTGGTTCCTACCAAACTGTGGCTACGATCCACTTCACCTCTTCTGACCCCAACCGTTATGTACACAGAGGTAACGCTGCACTGCCCCTTTGATACCTAGTGGCAATGCAGGTTACCGGACAGTGAGTAGTTAACACCTCTACAAACGCAACAAACAATACCATACACGGTGATTTTATGCGTTGCCTTGCTAAGCCGGCGATTGGCTGATAACTTTACGTGCAAATCGCATTTAACAGACAGGAGAAGGTCCTGGATTTTGTTGTTGTATGTGGTTTTATCCATGATGACAGTGGCATTGCCCTTGCCAGCTGAGAGGATGACAATATCATCTCTCTTTTTTAATTGAGCGAGTTCAAAACGTTCGTCCTTGCTAATGTTGCTAATGGGTTTATTATCATTCTTGAGGATAGCAGAGATTTCAGATTTTGCAACGTCTGTCGGGATGTGTCCCAGACCTTTGAGGGCTACGTCGACCTGGGCAATGTCATCCCTGCACGGCACAAACCCTCCCCTCCTCTCCACCTGGGAACTCTGACAGCCAAACTCCCACCCCCCTTCCCTCCCGTGCCTATATAAAGCCACAACAGCAGATCATTTTTTTCTCACCTAAAGACCCATGCTTGTTTTGCGACGGAAACGTCGTGTTTTCTTTTATTATTTTTTTCTATCTACGTGACTTTACCGAATAGAACCAGAGAGTATGGGTTCCTGCAGTCACGAAAGCTTCAAATCAAGATCAGATTGTAAATGTTGTTGGCATGGCTCTCCCACAACACGCCGGTGTGGCTGTACTAGTGACGAATTGGCCACGTTCTGTTTACGTGACAACCCTTACTAGTTGGCCGTGTCGGGTGGTGGCGGGTTTAACAACACATTTATATATTTACGCGATGTAACCCAAAAAAAACCTCTATCATGGAAAAATAAATAACTTGGAACAACGCAGAACATCTCTTCCAGAAGACGCAGGGATTTTACTTCCTCTTCCGGAAGAGTCTTCCGGAAGACGGAAAAAAACGCGATCCGACCGTGCGAGGCTTCCCCCGGTGACTGAACACGGTGAGGCTTCGCTCCGTTACTTTTACAACACACCAACAACGAGAACAACTTAAGAAAAAAAAACACCCCCCCTCTAAATAATTTCAGTTCATCCAGCAGAGCGGAGAGCCGCAAGAGCCGTCCCTTCCCCCGAGAGGGAGAGGACGTGAGAGTCGAGGTGGTTCACCCCCGCGTTCGGCGTGTGGGACTAGCGGAGCCATTTCTGCAAGGCCTAACCCTCGGCGTCTCTCGCGGTTTGAGCAAATAATCAGTTTACAAGCTCGTCCTGTCGCCACACTTTGACGTGTGCGTGAATTACTATCCCATCGACCAGTGTTTGCAAGCGGGACGGGCTAAAACGGAGGGTAGCAAGACCGAATGCCCATAGACTATAACCGATCGTTAGGTACCCAATAGACTCCCGAGTGCAGCACTGCATTCAACATAGACTATGTTGAACTTCTTCTTGGTTCTTTCGGTAAAGTCACGTAGAAGGGAAATAATAAAATAGTTACAATAAAACATAATAAAATTGTCACAACGTTTCGGCCACAACACAAGTAGCCTTCCTCAGGTGAAGCAACAGCGCGCTGTCTTTCCCACAGTTATGTTTCTTCACCTGAGGAAGGCTACTTGTGTTGTGGCCGAAACGTCGTGAGAATGTTATTTTAGTATTTCCCTTCTACGTGGTGACTTTACCGAAAGAACCAAGAAGATGAATCCCTGCAGTCACGAAAGCTTTAAAGCGAAAAAATATGTTGAACTTCTTTCGCACAGCGCGTAGTCAACTGCGCTAATCGGAGAACAATGATCATGGGCTACAGTGCAGAGATAACCGAATGCCCGTGGACTATAATGTTGGAACAGTATGACCAATGTCGGAGCCAGGATTTTCAGGTAGTCGGGGGCAACCCCTCCAGCAATGAAAAATTATAGAGGAGTTGTTAGCAAGTAAGGACTTGTCCCTTGCTTTTTATTTGACGCGTGCGCGGCGATGGCTCAGCCATCGATCGAGGGTCAAATTCGAACCGCGTTGTGTGATCGGCATCGCGCTCGTTGAAGGTGTTTGCCTTCAGGGAACTGCGCACAATTCTGAGTCACTTATAACTGCTTTGCCGTTACTTATTGCCAATTATGGACTCAGACTATTGTCCTATCATCTCATAGAGTCCCTGGCACATAATAATATGCTTCAGTGGCAGTGGGGGTCGCAAAATGCCGATTTATTACTAATAAACCCCAATGATCCGATCGAAATCCCCACCCCCCACTGCCTCCGCCAGTGAATATGACGATAGATTATAGTAGAAAAAATAATGCCCGCAGACTGGAAGAGAGGATTAAATGCCCGTATACTTAACTCCATGATAGGTCTATGCATATTGCGTTTTCTGTCTTCGTTTTAGTCTGTCTCGTAGCAAGCAGTATTCGTTTAAGCAAGCAAAGTTTGGACCTTATTGCTTTGTTGCGTTGAACAGGGGCCGAATAATTTCAATGGAGTGCTCGCGAAACAATATTTGCTGATCCAGCAGCATTTGTTTAACAACATGACTTTGCTGATGAGAACCCAGCAGGTTGAAGCCGGTCCAGAGTTTTCTTGCTTGAACAAATACTATTCGATAATATCGATCTGATTGTTGGACGAAAACCTGTTTATTTTACTTAAGTTTGTTAGATTACCATTTTCTGATTATAGGACGCGCTTCGTTCTGTATTTAAAGCGTATGTTGGAGACGTGTCTTATAATCTGGTAGGTGTATGCGAGTGACCAGATTTATTAAACTAAAGTATTGACAGAGGGAGCTGTTCGGGGTGCCTTAGTTTCGCTTCCAGAGCACCCACCATCAAAACCATGAGAATAATGTATGCTCCCGTGGGCTCCCTCTGATCCTTGAGCATTAATTATCAATGAACACTCGTCTGGTTCCCAATAATCAACTATTTTGTGTCCTCCAGCAGGGCAGAGATGTCGGGATGGGGGAAGAATCAGCAGAACCCTGGCTTCGGTCGGCAGAGCAAGTTCATGAACATGACGCAGCAGGAGCTGCTCATCGAGCAGAAGAAAAAGGAGATTGAGGCGAAGATGGCGGCACAGAAAACGCAGCAGCAGGCAAAGCCCTGCTCGCTCACACCGGAGTATGTGACCACAAAGCAGGCACGAGCTTCGGTGTTATTCAGTGAGCCGGATAGGGCTGTGCCCACTTGACTGGGTTATAAGGTTGCAAGTTCAAATGTGGTCGAGGGTCCATTGTGTTCGTCATCCGAATGGCATGGATCGGTAAAACGAGTGCCACTTGTCGGTTAAGTTGACATTGGCTGCCGTATGGCGTGACTGGCCCCACCATAGTAATGTTAACCACTATCTCAGGACCAATAAAAAAATGCACGGATACAATATTTTCATGCATGCATCTAACAAGCGACAAATTGTATTCTAATTACCTTCAAATGGCATGAAAAACAGTGCAAAATTGTTCCGACAATGAAGCAGCAGAGCTACATTGTTGTTAGCGCACGAGACCCAAACTGGTGTTTAACTTTTCTATTTGTGGCGAAAGTAAAGATCTTTAACCAATTTTAGCATAATGTTGGCATGATGCAATGTATAACACGCACAATATTCCACAGGCTTGAATGACCGTGACTGGGGTGAGGAGCAGCTGTCCTCTTATTTAGCAATTGGCCCCTTATTGAAAAAAATACTACGACAAGGAAAGACAAACTCTCGTGTCCCCCAGTTCTCCCTCAAAAACAGCAATCCAGTGTCAAGGGGCTTTGACTTGGTTTTAAATAAATATTGTTTATCTCCACAATTTCCCACCCCCAATGCATGAACATTGAAGTCTTTTAGCTTTGATTGTGCTGTAATTTATTTGTTGTGTGTTTGTGCTTCCCTGTAGCCCAAAGCCTGCCGCCAGCGTACCCAACAAATTTGCCAATGATGGAAGTTTTCTTCAGCAGTTCATGAGCATGCAGCAACAGAAGAAGACACGTGCGTAGCGTTTTACAGTAATATCATTTTTGTGTGGATGGTGAATCTTTATAGAAAAACATTTTAGTAGTGTTCTGTTCTTGTGGTGAGTAACAAACGTTAACATCTAATAAAAAAAAACGTTTTACTTTAATGGTTTAAGTACACAAATTGATTCGCAAACGATTCCAGTGTAGGTGCTGCACACTTTAGATGACTAACATGGTAAGATGAGTTTTAAGTGCTAATGTGTGTGTTTGTACAGCGAGCAGTCATGCTGCTACTGTCAGTAACAGCACAAGCGTGACTGCATCATCCAATGAACACATCCAGAGCCTTACTAGGTAAGACTGGACCACAACTTTTCAAAACTGAAACATTTCTGCTGTATAGTAGGTACCTGTAATTCAAATTATGAGCCTTTTCTTGTACCTTCTGGTCTAAAGTCTTTGTCCCAATGTGCTGTGGACCGAATGAAGCATTTCCTAACTGTTTCAAATGTTGCTGAGCTTGAACTGTAGTTAATGTGTTGAGTAACTGTTATTCACTGCAGTGCTAAATCTTACTGCTCATCACAAGCATGTAGAGTATAATCCCACACAAACATCATGAAAAAACACCCTCTTATTTTGCAAGAATGGCTTTATTTATTACAATTACAGCTGTTGACCCTTGCATGTCATTCTAATTATCATTACAGTACGACATAATTTACAGTTGTTTAAAAGACTTGAATTTCATCCATTCTACAAGTGCCACAAGCCTATTTCATGGAATCCAGTACCTATTTCATAAACTACAAATTTACCAATTTGAAAATGCTATAGTTCCCAAGGTGGTCAGCTGGATACACATGGAAACACAAAGCTACCAGACTCAAGTGTTCCAGTGCCACTCGTTGTTGAAACATGGTCATGCATTCCACCTTCTGGTTTTCTGCAATTGTCTATTTGGATTATGCCCCATGTTTGTTCAACACAATATCTTGACGTTTTGCTCCATATCTTTGAATCTTCAGGAGCTAAATTCAGTTCCTGAAGAATTCAGTTTCTGAAGAATTCAGTTCCTGAAGAACTGAATTCATGATGTCAGATGTTTTGCTCCACGTGCTAATAACTTCCTGAATTCAGTTCCTGAAGAAGCTCCCAGCACGTGGACCGAAACGACGGACGTCGTACCCAACGACATGTGACAAAAACGCATCGGCGAGCTACACAAGCACAGCCGCGAAAGCCTACGACGTGGTACCTCTTTATTCCTTTGCAGCAGCGGCAAAAGTCCCGTGGTAATCGGCAAGAGGACGGCGGTGGCCGCGAGCTCAATCGGCAGCATGCTGAAGCAGATGAAGCGCAGCACTCCGCCGAGCACCAAGCCAGCGCTATCCACCAGGCCCAGCGCCTTCCAGCAGCCGGACGATGAGGATGACAACAACAACAACAACGAAGGTGGCGGCGGCTGCGACGGCGACGCTGACAAACCTGGTGATTTTTCCCAGCAGCACCACAGACACGTGTCGGGCAGTGGCGTCCGCTGACCGACGCGTACTGACAGGCTGCTTAAAGTCTGCCCCCCAGAGGAAAGCGAGACACGGGACGTGGCTGAGAAGCTGGCTCGTTTTGTGGCCGAGGGGGGCCCCGAGATGGAGCAGATTGCCGCCGAGGGCAACCGCGACAATCCTGCTTTCTGGTGAGCCCGCTCGCCCTCATTCTTCAAACTCATTGACAAGACATTACATACTATGTACATATGTTGAACTTCTTTTGCACCGTACATAGCCGACCATGCTAATCGGGGGTGCGGAATGGCTTGTGATGATGTACCCCCTAAAAAGAGAAGTGTTTCAGATGTGCAGATTTTTTAGATGTAGGCTTTCGTGGCCTAACCCAGAAGGACTACTCTTGCCATGCAACATTTCATTGATTAAACTAGTTTATTATACTTAAAATAAAATTAATATTGAAAAATTCATATAATAAGTTATTTTGATATATCAGAATGCAAACAGGGTTGGGCTAATATAGCAAGACAAACCATATGAGATGGTACAAATAACACAAAAAAATATTTTCTCAAATCAATGTGACCCAGAAATCATAACAATTGATTGAATTGTAGTATAAAATCCATCGTAGTGTTTTCACATAATTATTTTTATTACAAATTCTACAAAACTATAGTTAGAGCAGCGGTTGTCAATTTTTACCTTTATGTGCAGATATGTTTGGGTTGTATGTAAATGCAGCACATCTATTAAATGCCTCTGGATTGTCAACTCATCAGGTTACACCAGAGGTAGCCTTTCCAACTGCTTGCAGTACTGGGACAGGAGTCCAGAGGAGGATCCACAATACAATTTGTTTTAAACAATTGACGATAAATTTTTATAAATATTGAGAGCATGAACGATCAACAGGTGTCGAGATAGTATTTATTTTTCACTCAATTGCCCATACAGGTTCCTCTATGATCAGAATAGCGGAGCCTACAAATACTTCAAGCATAAAGTGAAGGAATACACAAGAGCCATGGCAAATGAAGCTAAGCAACTCATCCCAGCCTTCAACGCGGCAGGGTTTGACCCAGGTATAGTACGTGTTGCATCAAGCATTGTTTAACTCCTGTGTGTTATATTTCTAACCTAGCATATTGAATTGCACGATTGGGTGTCCTTAAAGCATTTTGATATTCCAGCTTTAGGTAAAAGTTAAATCTGCAAGGTGACAATGTCTCCGAGTACTATTGTGCATGCCACCATTAAGATCCTAGGTTTGATTCCTTTTCAACAATGGTTACATCAAAAAGGAAACCATGTAAATCAGGATTATGATTACATTTAAATTATCTGAACTATGAGGGTCTTAATAATAAATGTCACATGGCCTAATATTGCTAAATGAATAGTAATTAGTGAAATTATATCTGGTGGCTGGGTAAGTAGGGGGGGGGGGGCTCTTATGGATACATCTAGGTCTTCTTTGGTTCTTTCGGTAAAGTCACGTGACTTTACCGAAAGAACCAAAGAAGATGAATCATTGCAGTCACGAAAGCTTTAAATCGAAAGATACATCTAGGGTTATACTTTATGATCCCAGGGTCATCCTCCTGAGGTAGCTATCCTTGGAAATCTGTAAGGCTTCACAGTACATTGACATGCCCAGTTTTTCTCAGTTGCCTAATAATACGCAACTCAATACACGCATTTATGTGTATTTCTCCCATTTTATATTACTGCGAGATATTCTTCTTTCCATGAGGTTTCCCAGTTAGTTGTGCCTCAGATTTGGCAATCCTACACATTTCAGAAGTTGTTGTTCTTGTCATCTTGCGGGATTATTTCCAGGTGGAGATGGCACTTGCAGTAGGGATGGTTCAGAATAGATGACCTTGCCATATGATGTGACTATTGTGAGAAACTGTAGAATAAAGTGGAAGAGGTTAAACTTGTGAAACTTGAATTTTAAAAACAATCACACAAAAACAGCAAACCAGGACTCAAGGAGCCGGCCACAGGAAGGGCTCAAGAGGAGGAAGAAGAGCCGATGGGGCCCAGAGGAGATGAAGTCGGAGACTGATGAAAGGGCAGCGGTTCGCCACTTCACAGAGGAAGAGAATGAAGGCGCAGGTATCTGACCTGAACCTCCTGCAACCCCAGAACTTGCCTGTTTCTGATTTAAAGTGGTTTGTGCGGTGTTACAAGTTGTTCCGAATGTCATTCTGAATTTTCTACGCTGAATTGCATGACGCTTTCTCTGGATGGACCGACAGTTACATTGTCATGCTGCTGTTGCTTGGTGCTAATCGATGTTGCAGGTTTGGACCTAAAGGACCTCGGTTATGCTAAGGGGAAGCCAGCAGGACTGGTAGGAGTCACTGAGCTGTCTGATGATCAGAAGAAACAGCTAAAAGAACAACAGGAGGTTTGTAAAGGAGTTCTTAAATATAACTGAGTCTATAAATTACCTTCAAACATCTAAGTCGAAATCATAAAGAGTGCATCATAAATTTGGAAGTTTCGAATAGTTACACTGATTGCAGAGGGTCTTGTGAATAACAGGAAAAAATACCCATTTTGGCAAGTACTTTAATTGGGGAAAATAATATGAAATTAATTGTGCGCTGTGGTAGATGTTCCTCGATAATGACGAAATGATGAACAGTCATGCCCTCCAGTAAAAATAAATTGTCGTTGAAAATTAAGTTGGTGTGTGTGTGTGGTCTTTATTGCCACAAGGGGGCACGTGAAATTATGGTTTCACTTGCGTAGTAAAACCCCTCTTATCCATGGTAATTAATTCAGGGATATTTACAGATAAGAGGGCATGAATAATGAAAACGAGTTATTAATAACCTTATAACATATACACTGCAGAGCATGGTAATAGAGTGGCATTGCCTGCTGCTGTAGATAATATTCAGGGCCCAATAAAAAATCCCTTGGCATCTACAATGCTGCACAGAATAGTTACAAGTAGTCTGTAGTTTATTGAAAAAATTCAGAGGCATACAGAACAAAGTTGGGTGGAACAGAGCAGTGGTTAATTAGCACTCCGAAGCCGGCGACCCGAGTTTGATTTCTGGCCACAGCGAACATCGGTGGCAAGTGGTATCTCAAATTGTCCTGGTTGCCGCCCCCCCTTAACTAACCCACACTGACTGGCGTGGTCAAACAATTGCCATATAGACACTGTGTGGGGGGGGGCTTTCATTTACTAGTGGGTCAACAAAGGGCTGTTATTTATGACAGAACAGTTGATCAGCAGGTCGCTTGTGGTGGGTACTCCCACCTCTGTCCAAGATGTGTGGCCAGCGTGAAGGAGTTGGTAAAATGACCTCGAGGGGAGTTCTCTAGAGGAGGGAGGCTATTTCACCAGCACTGGCACGAGCAAGCAATTGTGGGGCTGCAACTTTATCGTTTTACCACCTATTGCAGAACAAAGTCTGCGCTTGTGACCCGGTGCCCGTGTACGTGCGTTTTTCCTGGCGAGCAGATGCAGCAGATGTACGACATGATCATCGCGCACAAGCGCGCGATGGCGGAGATCGAGACGATGTGGGCAGCCGCGCTCAAGAAGAATCAGCACGAGTACGACAGCGACGAGGAGATCGATGACGAGGCCGGCACCTGGGAGCACCGCCTCAGAAAGATGGAGATGGAGAAGACTCGAGGTCCCTACTCACTGTGCTGCTAGTTCACATTCCTGCGTGCGCTGTTTTGTGATGATAACGCCTCCATAACAAAGAGTTGTGACGATGTTATTGGCCTCTAACCACAGTATCTACAAATGCACATTATTTCACCAGATCTCAGAATCCAAGCAGGATTTTAGCCTGGATAATGCTTGGATGGGCAACCACCGTGAAAAAGGTGTTATTGTTTTTGTGGGCTGCAGATTGCAGTGCAGAAAAATGCTTTGTACTGTACGTCTATATTCCCCGCTTTTACGAACCTGCACTGATGAGCGTGGTTATGTATGGTCACTTAAGACTAAATACCCACGTAGAGTGGGGAGGCCCTCATCCTGAACTGGGTTAACAGTAAGGGCAATACATGTGCAACGATGTATTGATACAGGGATTAAAATGTATTCTTGTCCTCATGATACGTGGATCAAACCAAGTGTGTAATCAAATGTTTTCAATTCATATGCTCATGTAATGGTATCAGGTGGGGACCCTCCAGCCACTAGAGGCTGCTAGAAAAACCACTGTGGGACACTAATATATCCTTGAATCACATCGCACACCTGGATTGGGGCATTTCACTAGCATGCAAGGGGGCGAATCATTCGCTTGTATACAATCTACACTAACATAGACCATAAATGCTGTGACAATGCACAGAGTGCCAGACTAAGACACTTATAAGATTATTTTGGCCTGAGAGCCACTCAAGCCAGATCAGTCCCTGCATGATGCATTCAGCAACGATGCTGGAAGTCTGCAGGCTGCTTATGTCATATATCCATGGACCACACTACGGGGTCATATACCCACATTAGTTGGCATATATCCAAGGGTTGTACAAAACTTCCCCATGAGTCAAGTTTATGAGCCTTGTGATCTGTTGACCACATGTTTGACGCACCCCATGTAGAATAGAGTGCAGTGAGCACTAATCTGTGTTATTGCATTTCCTAACGTGATACATTCGCCCCCCCCCCTTTAAAGGGTAAGCTTGTGCTCTTTTCATATGAAACTCATCACTGTGTAAACTTTCCTTGTTTCACCAGTATCCATCCCCTGCGATTTTTCTGGTGTTATTGTTTTTTTAACTTCAGTTGCTTCCAGTCACCTCGCTCCTCATACTGGCATTGGATTTGCCTTGGCCTGAATGCACAAGAACACAGCATGTGCATGTAATGGCCCTTTGTCAGTCGACTGCTGGATGAGGCCATGCCCACACTATGTGAATCTTACTTGACCATACCCCACTACACTGGTCACCAACAGCAACAGCACCAGGCTTGATCGATTGTGCATCTGCTTTATGTGTTGGGCTCTGGCTCTGAATCGCTTGCATAAATCACTGCGCTCTCACCCACAGAGTGGGCTGAGAAGCTGACCGACATGAACCGTGGGAAGCATTTCATTGGAGACTTTCTGCCCCCGGACGAGTTGGACAAATTCATGGAGACGTTTAAAGCCTTAAAGGTAAACAGACATCGATATCACATTTCTCCCTACAGTATTTAATATGCAATTATATTGCATGCGTAACGACTACAGAATTCGTATACTAACAGTAAGTTGCTTTCCCCTATAAGGTTGGTTCACCGTTACATATTCAAGCTAATTTTGCCGTGTTTGAAGAAATCAGAATGATCAATATGTACACAATATAACAAAACAGCTTCTGAAGTGATATTCAGCAATGTTTAGAAACCTATTGTTGATTTTATCCATTTAAGCCTAACTGAATCTTAAGGTACTTTATGAGGAGGCTCCAGCTTTAGGGTGTTTGGCAATTTTTTTAATGAATGTACAAGGGAGAAAACCCCCAACCCATCCAAGCAGATAACGCTTAAAGTTCACAAACCCACATTCTCTACTGCCATATCTTCGCTCCCTCTCAGCCCAGTAGATTTGGGGATGTTGCAAATTCACATGGCGCAGCAACAACCCCTTGGCTCCACAGTGCTGCATCACAGCTGTGCTCCACTCCACCCACGTGGCTTGTATAGAAATCCCTCGAGTCTGGCCAGCTGTGAACGTTTTTTCGTGAGAACTGTGTAAAATGCCCTGTCAGGGTGTGAGCACAGGCATATGTGCGTATCGCGTGCTTTCCTATCGTGTTTTTGTATTGTAACGTTTTGACCCGCCCCTGCTGGAACATCTGTAAAAAAAAGAGCTTCCTAACTCATCAGATTACTCCAGTTACAATAAATATTCTGATTCTTCACTGTGCAGGAGGGCCGTGATCCAGATTATTCAGACTACAAGGATTTCAAGCTGACGGTGGAGAACCTCGGCTTCCAGATGCTCATGAAGATGGGATGGAAAGAGGGCGATGGTCTGGGCACCGAGGGAAAGGGCATTAAAACTCCCGTCAACAAGTAAGGGTGTGGGAAGCTCAGACTGGACACACACAGCTTGTGATTGTTTACAGAAATTGCATTTGATATAAAGAGAGAACATTGTCCTATAATGATATTGTAGCACAAATATATAACATTTACGGTAACCGTAATATATTATATGCAATGACAATGTTAATAAATCTGCTGGTCTCTTTGGTGATATGTATTTTATCTTAATTCCAAAATGTGTAGTTTTTTTTGTTGTTGTAATATAATACACCACAACGTTGTTGAATTCAGTGCCAGATGTGTAGTTTTTCCAATTAAAACATACAAATGTGTTGTACTTTTCACAGTCAAGATGAAACAAAGAATAGTCCCTCACCCTTTCTGGCAATGACACCGTTTAAAAATAAATAAATTAATGCGAACCGACACACCTGATGACGACCGTTTGTGTTATGGTCGAAACGTCGTGAGAATTTTTTATTGTTTTTATTGTTTTATATGTATTTTATTATTTTATTGTTTACCTTCAACGTGACTTTACCGAAAGAGCTAAGAATATGAATATAAAAAAATTACACAGGTGTTGAGATGTTCAAACACCAAATACACACACACCGATTGCAAGGCATTAAATCTGCATTAACCACACGTGCTGGTGGTAAAACATGCACACAAACGTACTGTATGTATGTTGAACTTCTTACTCTGGTAATATATGGATTGTCTTTGAAATTGGTTGGCCCTACCAGTGTCTCACTGGTGTTAGACGAGAGAACGCCAACAGGCGAACAGTACAAAGGCAATGCAAATATAAAAGCATGAATAGCTCGGGTTGACCTTTTTTGACAGTCATATGAGTAAATATTTCACATTGAGCAGTATAAACACATAATTAATGTCAAGCAAACAAACATTTTCTTTGATGCAGTAGCTTCACACTGTTCAGCCAGGCAGAATTGACTCGTGCTCAATTGATCATACTGTGGTCTACAAAATATTGCCTTTTTAAAAACGTTCTTTGTCTGAACACGGCACTCACTTGGTTTTACTTCCGCTGTGTACAGGGGCACGGTGGCCATCGACAAGGCCGGCTTTGGCATCGACCGCCCAGCCGAACTCAGCAAGAGTGACGATGAATACGACGCCTTCCGCAAGCGCATGATGCTGGCCTACCGCTTCCGGCCCAACCCCCTGGTACATATGCACGCTTACTCGCTCTTGCGGGTTGCACTCATCACCCGAACATGCTTTGCCATTTCAGCAAAAACTGAATCTAAATATAAACGTCAAAAGTGTATTTGTGCTCAAACGAGCATTGGGTGGTGCTCGTATTCCTTTTGTGGCTCCGAGCCAGCGATGGAAATTCCACATTCTCATGAAGGAATCTAGAATTTACATCGGACAACTACGTCTGACTGCACAAAGCAGTATTGGCTTTTGACTGTGAATGAATGAGCGGATGAGATTTTAACTGCAGCATTTCTGAGTGCGAGTTGTGTGCATTGCCACAGTGGAATATGGGGAGGGGTCATGATTGGCTGTTACATGAATAAATAGACATTTTATACACAGGAAAGCCTTGAGAATTCTCAAGACTATCGGAAATGTTCTGCATTGGGATGTTTGACTAATTATTATTTAAATAGTGCTTTTTCTTCATGTGTTGATAGTGATTTTTTTTGTACATGTTTCTATGCATTTAAAAAAAATCACTTTTTTATTGCAGAAGTTAACATTCCACAGCCCCATTCACATTAAGTCAACTATTAAACCCCCAAAATGTTTTTTTCTCACAAAATCGAAAACTCATTACACCTCCGTCAATCCACATTAACTCCTGGAATGCTTTGAAAAATGTGCAAATGTTTATTGCACCCCAGCAAGTCCAACATGTGAAATCACCTACCACCAGTCCTCACTTAACGAAGAATATTTTAAGACCCTTTAAACCTCAGTACTTTTGGAAGAAGCTGTCTGGCTGAAAAAGATGATCTTATATTCCTCTTGGTGATTGTAAAATAAAAAAAAATATTCTGCCAAGTTTTAACGAACCTGCTATTTTATTTGATAGACTGCTGCCCGTCATAGGAATTTGGAATGTTAGCCATTGGTTCAGGATTGACATCAGAGAGCAACACCGCACACTGCTCGTTTTAAATGTAATAGGAAGTGTTACATTGGAATATTTGTTTTGCTTGTTATTGACGTTTTTTTAAAATTGTGGTTTTCAGAACAACCCAAGAAGACCCTATTATTGAACTGGACACCGTACTGCTGTGTCGGGCTCAAGCTGTGACTTCAACAGCAGTTATAAACACCGGTTCACATTTTAAAAAGAAATATATCAGTATGCCGTCTCCATCAAAAAACCTTGACATTGATAAAACCATAATTAAATTGCCATTTGTATTCATTAGCTTTAGGTATGAATGCAGTGCTCGTTTAAATGTACAGGCAAATCATTTTACTTTGACCCTGTTTGTACAATTTGAATGTACAAGCAGATATTGTAGTGTACAACATGGGCCATTTCATCTGTTAAGACCATTACATATGCCCGTTTTCTCTGCTGTGTTTTAAAGACTTAATTTAGGCTAAGCTTGAGAATAATTAAAGTACAGTATTACACGTGTGTTATTCGGTGTGGATGTTTGATTGATGCTTAAAGTAACACGTTCAATAGTTTTTACCCCTTGCAAATGGCTCAGTGATATGATTAGTAACGGGAATAAAATAAATAAGGCAACCTTCGTACCGTATTTTCACATATAGAATGAACACATTTTGAGTATTGGATTTCCAGACTCGTGTTAATCAGCAGCATTCGTTGAGGTAGGCAAAACTTGTCTGGTTTTTGGCCTTTTGAGTCTGATCAGCAAAGTCTAGCTTGTTAGACTGCCGGTTAGGTTTAAGATGTTTATTTTATTTGCACAGCCAGAATTCCCGCTGCAGTGCAAACGCTTTGAGCTGGATTCGGGGATTTGCCTAATTTGGGATTTTTTTTTATTACAGCTGGTACCGACCATAGGTGGCATAAAAATACGTGTTCATAGCTTTATTCTAAACTTTCAAGTTTATAAGAAGCAATAAACAGTACTCATTGCTGTTCAACACCTGTGGATGCATTTCTGTAACTGCAGTTACAGGGCCAGATGGCTGAAGACATTGACGGTGTGTGTTTTGATTGCTCTTGACAGGCTCTTGGATTCCGTCTTAAGTCCCAGGAATGTATTACCTGGGTGACTCAGTTTCACTGACTTCACTTAAGGACACGATTGAACTTGACGCATCCTAGGCATGTTTAACCCTGCTCGACCGCAGCAATTCGATGAATTTTCACGATGGAGAGAAGCGATTCTGTTTGAAGAGTCTGGTTCTTGTGTTTATGCGTTCTTATTTTTCTTGCATTTTTGCACGCTATTAGGATGAATGGAACTTGCATGCACGTTCAATAACTGTTTTTCTAATGCAAGATTAGGTTGCACACATGATCGTAAGAACCAGTCATCGATGCATTGCTGGATCGTTACATACCATAATACCCATTTTTATGAAGGCGCATCGGTATTGTACAAACTTTGAGGAGTGCTGGGCGTCACTTTAACTAGTGCTGGGCACCACTTTAACTCGTGCTGGGCACCACTTTAACTAGTGCTGGGCACCACTTTAACTAGTGCTGGGTATTACTTTAACTCGTGCTGGGCACCACTTTTAACTAGTGCTGGGCACCACTTTAGTGCTAGGTATTACTTTAACTAGTGCTGGGCACCACTTTAACTAGTGCTGGGCACCACTTTAACTAGTGCTGGGTATTACTTTAACTAGTGCTGGGCACCACTTTAACTAGTGCTGGGTGTCACTTTAACTAGTGCTGGGCACCACTTTAACTAGTGCTGGGTGTCACTTTAACTAGTGCTGGGCACCACTTTAGTGCTGGGCATCACTTTAACTAGTGCTGGGTATCACTTCAGTGCTGGGTGTCACTTTAACTAGTGCTGGGTGTCACTTTAACTAGTGCTGGGTGTCACTTTAACCAGTGCTGGGTGTCACTCTAACTAGTGCTGGGCACCACTTTAACTAGTCTTGGGTATCACTAACTAGTGCTGGGCATCACTTTAACTAGTGCTGGGTATCACTTTAGTGCTGGGGATCAATTTAACTAGTGCTGGGTATCATTTTAACTAGTGCTGGGTATCACTTTAGTGCTGGGTGTCACTTTAACTAGTGCTGGGTATCATTTTAACTAGTGCTCGGTATCACTTTAACTAGTGCTGGGTGTCACTTTAACTAGTGCTGGGTGTCACTTTAACTAGTGCTGGGTATCACTTTGACTAGTGCTGGGCGTCACTTTAACTAGTGCTGGGTATCACTTTAACTAGTGCTGGGTGTCACTTTAACCAGTGCTGGGTGTCACTCTAACTAGTGCTGGGCACCACTTTAACTAGTCCTGGGTATCACTAACTAGTGCTGGGCATCACTTTAACTAGTGCTGGGTATCACTTTAGTGCTGGGGATCAATTTAACTAGTGCTGGGTATCATTTTAACTAGTGCTGGGTATCACTTTAGTGCTGGGTGTCACTTTAACTAGTGCTGGGTATCATTTTAACTAGTGCTGGGTATCACTTTAGTGCTGGGCGTCACTTTAACTAGTGCTGGGTGTCACTTTAACTAGTGCTGGGTGTCACTAACTAGTGCTGGGTATCACTTTAACTAGTGCTGGGCACCACTTTAACTAGTGCTGGGTATCACTTTAACTAGTGCTGGGTATCACTTTAGTGCTGGGTATTACTTTAGTGCAGGGCGTCACTTTAACTAGTGCTGGGTGTCACTAACTAGTGCTGGGTATCACTTTAACTAGTGCTGGGCACCACTTTAACTAGTGCTAAGCACCACTTTAACTAGTGCTGGGCATCACTTTAACTAGTGCTGGGTATCACTTTAGTGCTGGGTATTACTTTAGTGCTGGGCGTCACTAACTAGTGCTGGGCGTCACTTTAACTAGTCCTGGGCATCACTTTAACTAGTGCTGGGCACCACTTTAACTAGTGCTAAGCACCACTTTAACTAGTGCTGGGCATCACTTTAACTAGTGCTGGGTATCACTTTAACTAGTGCTGGGCATCACTTTAGTGTTGGGTGTCACTTTAACTAGTGCTGGGCACCACTTTAACTAGTGCTGGGTATCACTTTAACTAGTGCTGGGTATCACTTTAGTGCGGGGCACCACTTTAACTAGTGCTGGGTATCACTTTAACTAGTGCTGGGCACCACTTTAACTAGTGCTGGGTATCACTTTAACTAGTGCTGGGTATCACTTTAACTAGTGCTGGGTGTCACTTTAACTAGTGCTGAGCACCACTTTAACTAGTGCTGGGTATCACTTTAACTAGTGCTGGGCACCACTTTAACTAGTGCTGGGCACCACTTTAACTAGTGCTGGGCATCACTTTAACTAGTGCTGGGTATCACATTAACTAGTGCTGGGCACCACTTTAACTAGTGCTGGGTATCACTAACTAGTGCTGGGTATCACTTTAACTAGTGCTGGCTGTCACTTTAACTAGTGCTGGGTGTCACTTTAACCAGTGCTGGGTATCACTTTAGTGCTGGGTATTACTTTAGTGCTGGGTGTCACTTTAACTAGTGCTGGGTGTCACTAACTAGTGCTGGGTATCACTTTAACTAGTGCTGGGCACCACTTTAACTAGTGCTAAGCACCACTTTAACTAGTGCTGGGCATCACTTTAACTAGTGCTGGGTATCACTTTAGTGCTGGGTATTACTTTAGTGCTGGGCGTCACTTTAACTAGTGCTGGGTGTCACTTTAACTAGTGCTGGGTGTCACTAACTAGTGCTGGGCGTCACTTTAACTAGTCCTGGGCATCACTTTAACTAGTGCTAAGCACCACTTTAACTAGTGCTGGGCATCACTTTTAACTAGTGCTGGGTATCACTTTAACTAGTGCTGGGCATCACTTTAGTGCTGGGTGTCACTTTAACTAGTGCTGGGCACCACTTTAACTAGTGCTGGGTATCACTTTAACTAGTGCTGGGTATCACTTTAGTGCGGGGCACCACTTTAACTAATGCTGGGTATCACTTTAACTAGTGCTGGGCACCACTTTAACTAGTGCTGGGTATCACTTTAGTGCTGGGTATTACTTTAGTGCTGGGCGTCACTTTAACTAGTGCTGGGTGTCACTAACTAGTGCTGGGTGTCACTTTAACTAGTGCTGGGCACCACTTTAACTAGTGCTGGGTATCACTTTAACTAGTGCTGGGTGTCACTTTAACTAGTGCTGGGCACCACTTTAACTAGTGCTGGGCATCAAACTATAAAGGGTTTTAAGTTTGAAACACTATGGCCTTATTACGCTTTCGTAAGTGAACTCTACATGAAATACAGTACACAGTACCTATAAAAACAACCTTATGAATTGCTATGCAAATGGTGGTTTAGAATGTGCCTACCCTTGGGGTTTTATTATTTCTTGAACACCCGAAGACCACGTACGTATCACCCTTGTGGCCACGCCTGGATGAGGGCCTTCCCACTCCATTGTGGATCGTGTTGAGTGCTGGATTTTACCGCAATTCGCCACGCTGGTCCGTGCAGGTTGTTGGTGAAGCTTAATATGAAGTGAACTAAATCACAGCTCGGCCAGAGTGAACTACTGGCGAGATAAATATATTGTTTTATATTTTTATTATTTTATTGCTTCCCTTCTACGTGACTTTACGGAAAGAACCAAGAATATGAATCCCTGCAGTCACGAAAGATTTAAATCAAAAATTCGTTGTACATACTGGTGGGGTAATATTAATACTATTGGACAAACCCCTCCTCCACACCGCTGTGTCTCTAACAGGGAAGAATGATTTTGGCAACGAGCATTTTTTTCACCGGTGTAAAGTACTGTGGGCTGGCCTTTTTAATGTAATCAGTAGCTCAGTACCTGACAAACCTTCAAATGGTAGTGAAAGCTGTCCTTGGTAGTGGTGGAATGATTCGCCACCCCCTTGCGATACCAATACATTTTTTGCGATTCGGGGTGAAAATAATTTTTTTCTGTAACATTGAGGCGAGTGTAGCAGCCTCTACTGGCTGGAGGTAGGGGCGTAATTCCATTACATCAGAAAAAAGATTTGGTTTATACGTATGGGATTTTATGCATGTATCGTGAACTAAAGATTTACTTTTGGGCTTGTGTTGCATTGTAAAACCCCGACAACATGGGTTTTTTTGGGTTAGATCGCGTAAATATATAAATGTGTCGTTAAAACCCGCCACCACCCGACACGGCCAACTAGTAAGGGTTGTCACGTAAACAGAACGTGGCCAATTTGTCACTAGTACAGCCACACCGGTGTGTTGGAGAGCCAAGCCACAACCGGCCCTGGACCTCCCCTAGGTTGACTAGGCCTCAAATGAGTTGCTGGTGCGGTGTGTATACATCATCACTGGGGAGACAAAGGCGGCTGGGCGTGGTCGCTGGCCACCCACCTCGTGTGCCGTGCCGGCCTTCATAGGTGCTCGCTGAGAGCACTTTCCCCAACAGTCTGTTAAAGCTATACGGGGGATCGTTGTCTTTGTAGTGGATGGGCACTGCTGCTGATGTTAGCTGTGGCCGGGAATGAAACTCGGGTTTCATTGCCCAGTGTGCGAACCACGACAATAAAGAATCCATCATTGGCAATGAATAATCTTTTTAAAAATCTATACCTTCTGCCTGTGTGCACAGAGGCATTGAGAGAGATTTACACTGGCAACTTAAAATGAGCACGTGGATTGTAGAACACGCAAATCATGAATGAATACGAAAAGAAATGAGGTTTTTATTTGGCAGGATACGGTACAAAGGAGGTGGTGGCCAATGGACGAGACTGGTGACATTCCTGAACGTTTCGTCACCCAGTCTGCGAAATCTGCTTTTCCGGCAACCGAAGGAGAGAAAAAAAACGCGCCCAAGAGGATACGCACCCGTGGAGATAGATGCAGCAGTGAGTTGATGGTGGTGGTGGAGCATGGCATCGCAAAGGACCGTGATGGATGGTGACAGTGTAGAGGCCTTCATCCAGTAGTGTATAGATAATAGCTGCTGAACATCAATTAGAAAATCTCACATGGGATTTGTTTTCGATGGTTATAGATTCCACTGCACAAACCAATCGGGGATTCAGTGGTCCATTGGTATTTTTTATTTATTGTATTCTTATATCATTATTTCAGGTTGTATGTTTAAATAAAATGTAGTTTATATAGAATTGTGTTAATATTTGTGATCAGTTTATTACACTACTTCTTTGGACTGTAAAGTGCCTTGGATTGCTTTTTCTAGGATAGGAGTTACTGTATATCAGCTTTATTTTATTGTAACTATTAAATTAACTAAAAACGCACTCGTCACTGGTCAAAGATAATCATTTGACCATATAGGGACTCGTCTACTTACGAACATTCGACTTATGAACTTTCAGAGATACGATCAAACCTGTCCGGATGTGATATGTCCAGTCGCATGTTCGGACCGAGTCGTAAGTTCAACCGCCGCGCAATAGATGGCGGTGGTGGCATCTACATTTGCACAACATGAACCAGTGGCATCTAGAGGACATTATCCAACTTTTAAAGCCATTCCCCCGTATTTGGTGTACATGCCGTACAACCTGTTTGGAATCGACGGGAAAAAAGTTGGACTTACGAACAGACCTCTGGCACCTAAGTCGTTCGTAAGTAGCGGAGTCCCCTTAACACATTTTTCACTCGTCTACCCATTTGAAACGCGCAGTGAACAGTCCACGGCACAGACATCCTCACCTGGAACTCTGAATTGCCAAAGCCGACAAAGTTTCAGACACCAATTACACCTCTTTACCTTGGGGTTGCTTCATTTTTTTTCCCTTCCACGGATGTTGTGCGCGTGTTGTTTGTATCTCCGAGCACCCGTGTACAGCTCACAGGAGGAAACTGACTCAGCAGTTGAACCTGCATCCTTCCACGTTCCCAGTGGGTGCTATGGCAATCACCACACCACACCCTTGCAGCCGCTGCGAACCCCAAATGTTTAATGTGGCCCACTTAAGCATATACGTCATGAAATTACTAAATTCCAAAGCCACTTGAGCCAACACCTGGTATAAAAATTTGTCTCGTTAGCCTTTCCCATGTCTTGCCACGGACGTTCATCATCGTCTATAAAAATAGGACAGAGCAACAGAGCCCACCGCCTCGTGTCGCTTAGGAGACGGCGTTCACAGCAGCCTGGCGGCATTCGTGGATTTCCAGATCCTGCCAGACGACCAGGCCCCTTCATTATTTAAGAGCCACTCCCTGTTGTTTGATCTTATGCGCAACAAACCCAGACCACACACACGTGTATATATACACAAAGATCACCGGTATAGCCTTAGCACACTGTTAAGGCAAGTGCTGTTAGCGAGCAACTATGAAGGCCGGCACGGCACACGAGGGGGGTGGAAGACCAGAGATCACGCCCGGCCGCCTTTGTCTTCCCGGTGGCGATGAGTTTACAAACCACACCAGGTACTCATGAGGCCGAGTAGACCTAGGAGAGGCCCAGGATGGTGGTAGATAATTGTCACTGGTGTTGACCGTGAGCGGGAATCATTCGGATCACCAGTTTTGGAGTGCAGCGAGCTAACCCTTACACTACCGCTCCCCACACATACAAGCATTCATACACACATATGCTTTAAAACATATACAAAACGCACCTTTATTTTTCTATAAAAATCACAATCTAGAGGTGAATACATTAAGTTATTGAAAATATTTACAACGCAGTCTTAAGTGTTAAAATTTAAGTCGCCGTTTTTAATTCAAAAAGTGCCACAAAATTACACTTAAAATGTTGATCTTAAAATGTGAAAATAAATTTCACTTAAATATTAAAACCAAAAACACCTAAGGTGTCGTAGCTGCTGTACGAAATATTAAATAACAAAAAAATGAGACATTACAATACATTAATCCGTGAAATAAATAATCAAATCACAAATATCGCTGAAGGGTCACTTCGGAGTGCTGGACTCAGACAGCCTCCATAAGTTTAATACCCTAATGGGGTCGACTCACAGTGGTTCCTGTGAACTGGTTGCTGGATAGGAGTGTGGAATTTCCACTACAGGGTCACCAATAGAGGTGAGCACTAAGTGTGCAAAACTCACAATTAAATTAAACAAAAAAAATTTGGTCTCGTGTTTTTTGTTATCAGTCGTAGTTTTGTACACAATATTAACCTAATTACAACATTGGCGTATCATTTGCAGACATCTTAAAACAATAAGATCCACACTGTTCGATACATGTCGTGTAATATTGATGCATCATTACCATACCGAATTGACACCACCCCAAAGCCCTTGAAGTAGAGACTCCAACTTTGTAAGGAAAAAAAAACACTTTAGACACGCATTTTACCCACGAGCGTTTTCCAACATCCTTAAATAGATCTATAACTTAAAATATAAAGATAGTTTATAAATAGAGACCCCAAAGTAGCAAATGGCTCGTCTACGGTAGCTGCACAAAGGCCTATGCTCCGAGCTGCCCAACAAGTTTTAACCTTCTATAGATACGAATGGACGTTCTGGTATCCCTGTGTTGACGTCAACTTGTGGCAAGGACGTCAACTCATTTGAATGCGTGGCTGCAAAGCCATTTTCCACAGAAACCTTCAGTATCCTCGATAAAATGTGACGGGGAGGGGGGGAGTAGTGGTTAGCGCACTGCGCAGTGAGGCCAGCGACCTGAGCTGGATTGCTGGCCACAGCTAACCCCAACCAGTACTGATCCACGTGGTGAAGTATGGTCAAACAACCCCCACGACAAACATGGACTGGGGGGCGAGGGGGGGGGTGGCTTCATCCAGCAGTGGATTGACAACAGACTAATTATTATAATTTTTTAAATCAAAATGGAAAAACTTTTAAGGCAAACATCAATGGACTATTGCTGGTAGTGACTTCAGAAAGCGTCTCGTTACCGAAAAGTTGAACTAATGTTGGACGGCCCAAGTCACTCGGCCTAGAAGTGTTACTACGATGTGAGTAATACTCGTCTTTTGGAGAGTGCTTTTAACAGCATACATTGAATAACTTAAAAAATAAAAGCACATTATTAATCTTACATTAATTTATGTCAAACTTAAGGCTCGGTCATAGTTGTCCAGGTGGCGCCGGGGTTTCATTATGGGGCCGTGTTAAACACGGAGCCAGCACCACTGAGAACCCGGGGGGTTCAATGCCCAAGAGCTGATAGACTCGGGGGAATTTTATATTGACTGTATTATATTAATAATGGCTATGTGAGGAATACTAATCCAAAATTACCAAGGTCCTGAGTTCAAGGTTGGAGCCCTGGGTCTAGCTATCTCGAAAGGGATTCACATGAGCTAATGTCAGAGGGAACAAATCAATACTTTTTTTTCACCGGTAAAACACCACTGCCGCGACTACTATTGCTGATGACTATGCTGCTGTTGCTGTTAATGATAGGAAAATTCCAGGGCCGCTGTTAATGACGCTGTTGCTAATGATGATAATGTTGCTATGAATAATAGATAATAATGATGCGACAAATAATGACCATGCTACCAGTGCTGCTAATGATGAGTGTGAAGCAGCTGATGAAAATTAGGATGCTGCTGCTGCTGCTGGTAATGGATGATTCTCATGATGATGGGTCATTATGATGATGGTTGCGGCTACTGCTTCCACTGATGCTGCTAACAACATCGTCGCCACTACAGATGACGACGAAGGTAGCTACTACGCCTTCTCCTGCCGCTGCTGCTGCTGCTGCGTTACGAGCAGTCCCAGTGCGTAAGCGAGCCTCGTCCGGATGAGCGCGCGATGGGGCGAGTCTCCCAGCTGCTGCGCGCTGTAATCGGACGCCTCGCGACGATCGTTCACGAACGTGAGGAGTTTGTCCCCTCCCTTGCTCTCCCCGAACACGACGACCTTCGTGTGGTCACGGTAGAAGTTCACCTGGAAGGCGACAAAGGATCATGGGGGTTAAAGAAGGCAGTCAAAGAGGTCAGGGCCTCGGGTGATTAAACTAAAACTCAATTATTTTTTATCTTACCAGATAAGCCCAATGAGCTAAGTAGCTCTTTTTCAGAAGGGACCTGGCCGCAAATGATAGCTCAACGAAGTGGCTTATCGCGTGGAAATTTATAGCAGACACACTCTAAATGCATGTCTCTAAATATTGAGGAAAAAACCGGAGGACCCGGAGAAGATTCCACAAGACCACGGGGAGAGAGACACGCAGTTCCTCCTTTAAATGTTGAATAGTTGCATGTTGCATGAATATAAGTTCCAAGATTGAAAGTGGAAATGTTAAAAGTTGAATTGGGTTATGGTATTTTACGATCTTGTTTAGATCGTTTCTCATTCAGTGTCATTTCACCAATCTCGTTTTCACCATCGGTCTCAATGGAACAACTTATAATCTGCATGTATTGTAAACTATCAAAATCAAACATGCACGTATCGCGAGATTCATTGTCAAAAGCCCCAAATATATTTGTTCAAATATATACATCGCGGGTGCAGCAGTGAATAGGAGGAGAAAGCACGCAGCTCGAATCATTATATTAAATTCAACGAACATTTTAAACTCAAAGAAAGTTCAATAAAAAAAACGATGTACTCTCTGAACATATAACTCTATCAACACAGAGTTCGATTGGGGGGATATTTTCACAATTCTGGCTATGGCCTTATGATGCTGGTTGTAACTATCAGTGAAATGCCATACCCATTGAAATGTTGCGAGATTTACTGGTGGTGCTCCTGAAGCAGTAAAAAACTGGCACGTTTGTTCATCACGTGTCAACTTATTTATAGGCTGTGTGTCGGGTGGAGGCGGTGTACGACATGCATTTTATTTGTGCAATCTGACCCAAAACGATCAATTACGAATTGTTGATAATCGTGTTGTGGTACCTGCACAGTGTTGTTGCTGAAGAGCATCAAAACAGCGCGGTCCGTCTTCACCCACTGGACCAGGAATATGGCCTCGTCGCTCCTCCTCTCCACCCGTTGGCTGACAGCGTCCACTCCCTGGCCAATCACAGAAAGCGTTAACAGCGTTAGGAGGGGGCGGGGAAGCAGAAGAAAGGCTTTGGCTTGATGATGATGATGTCGACACTAGTTGTGTTGTTCATGGCAATTGCACTGCTGCAGTAGATTTTGGCAATGTTGATGCTATTGCTGTTGACGATTGCGATAGCACCGATTTCCGCTTACCTCAAGGAGATGTTGATCCATGAATTGAGTAAAATATCGCAGCGTCGCCACAACTCGGGTCATGTGACGCGGGGGAGAGGTCAGATCAAAGGTCGTTGCTGTGCCAACCTCAGCCTGGTGCTGAACAGTCCTGCATTAGAAACAAAGATAAATTACCCACAATGCCCCTGTGAAAAACGCCTTCGTCGATAAACTGATTTGATGCAAAAATTATGTGGTTGCGACAAAATAAAACACCATACAGTGTGCTTTTACATATTTGATTATGTTTCAATGTTGATTTATTAATAAAGTCATAATAAAGGTTTTTGGGTTAGATCGCGTTATTTATAAATGTGTCGCAACCCTCCACCACCCGACACGGCCAATGTAAAAAAGTGTCACGTTGACAAAAGACAAATAGTTCACTACTTTAACGCACCGGTGTGTTGAAGAGTGAATCCACAACATTAACAATTTTTGAGCACGAGTTTCGCTGGTAATTACATCCAGCATAATTGGGCAATTTGCCAGAATACTATTTGCCAGAATACTATTCTGGCACATTGCCCGATGATGCTGTATGTAATTACCAGTGAAACTCGTACTCAAAAATTGTAAATGTTGTGGATTCACTCTTCAACACACAGGTGGGCTAAAGTATTTGTCTTTTGTCAACGTGACACTTTTTATACTGATTGGCCCTGTCGGGTGATGGAGGGTTGCGACACATTTATAAATAACGCGATCTAACCCAAAAACCTTTATTATGATTAATAAATGTTTAACTTTTTCAGCTCCCAAGTATTTTTTACAGGAACATTTTACAAAAAACCCTTCAAACTTATTGTTTTTTCAGATTCGGTCAAAGAATGTCTCATTCAACTTAAAATATAGCCTTTTTTACCAAATTAGTGCGAGCAAACAGGCCACACATTTAACCATAAACCAATCACTTTTCCCCCTTATCTTTGGCTTCCAAGCACCTCTAAGGGGGTGCACGCCAAGGACCCAAAAGTAAAAAGCCCAATAAAAATGAAAATAAATTAAAAAGTAAACGTACGTGGCATCTGAGAGCAGGCGGAAGTGGCTGCCTTCGTTTGACAGAACTCCAACGCTGCCATCGCTCAGCTTGTATCCAAACCCCAGGCGATTCGAGTGATCGACCCACTTTGTGACCCACAGGCCCCGTCTCTTTGACGACCCCTGATCTCCCGGTGGCACCTTGTTCTCAGAATCCACTTTTTCTTGCTCCTGCTGCTGCGGTTGGAGTCCCAGTTCCTTCTGTTCCTCTTGCTTTCTTTTCTCGCATGTTTGTTGCGGTTGTTGCTGCTCATGCTGTTTTGTCAGCGCGTGTTCCTCACAACTTTGTTCGTTATGGATTTTTTCATCACAACTTTTGTGCTGCTGCTGCTGCGGTTGTTGTTGTAGTGAGGGTAGGTGGCATGTCGCCACGTGCTTAAGGCACACCCTGAGGGCAGACATGGACGCTCCAACGACGTCGGCGGTGGGGCCTGGCGGCGAGTCCAAGCCTAGAAATTCAACCGCAACGACAATCATTGTCACCAACGTGAACATCGCCATGAACATGTTGGAGGTGCTGGGCAAATATTGCAGGTGTTGAGTTGAGTCAGCGGTAATGACTCGCACATATAGCCCAGCGCTTTAAAGGTAAGGGTTGGTAGATAGCATGCACAGAATTGTGAAACGAGTCATCAAATTGTTATTATCATGGTTGTCGGAGAAGATGTTAGGAGCGACCTACGTTAAGATTCACAACCATGGCTCTCACCAGTGGTGGGTGACAACTGCACCACTCCTCGGTCCTCCTTCACCGTCCCTCACTGGCCAGTGCGGTAGAATATGGTCAAATAACCACCATGACAACCACGGGGGAGGCCTTCATCACCCAGCCGTGGATTGACAAAGGGAGGGTGCTGTGTAAGGTGTTTGAGGTGTTAAGGAGGCCACTCACAATCACTGCTTTCTCTTCTGCTGCTACTGCTGCTGCTGATAATGGTTCTCTCTCCAGTACATCTCTCACTGGATTCTCTGTCCTCCGTTGGAGATAGATCTGTCCTCAAGCAAACCTGGAAAAGATCAACCCCAACATCAGCGCCATCACGAATATGAACACTAACATCAGCATAATGACCTTCAATAGCACCATGAGCAATATCACCACAACCATCGCCACCAATATCACCACCACCACGACCATTACCTCAGTGTTGCTTCCCGTTTGACATGACGCGCAGTTCAGTCCGGCCTTGAGCATGTCACTAGTCAACATCTTTTGACCCCCGTCGCCATGGCGATCGACAATATCTGACCCTGCAAAGTGGGGGGGGGGTCAAAAAAGGCTGCTGAGTTCCAGAATTAAATCGAGTGTTGTGCATTTCCGTGTCTTTTGTGCGTTATAGATTGTTGTGTGTTCTCTGTTATCTCATTTTTTCCAAATCCTCCTGTGTTCTGAATTATTATGCCAAGGGTTGTTGTGTGTGCTCCGGACAGCCATGTGTTCCGGATCATCGTGTGTTCAGTGCTCGCATGTTCCGGTGAAATTGTCCTCACCGCGAGGCTTCCGGCGGAAGATGGTCGCCGCAGCTTTCCGGAGGAGTCGACCGGCGGAGCTCGGTGTCCGGAAGATGGGAGGGGAGAGATGCGAGGATGTGGGGAGACGATCCGGAACAAAACCCTAAGAGGCAGGCAAGCAAAACACATGTAGAGCACATTTACATATAGTCAAACACAGAGTACAAGAAGCAAATATCCTGCATATGTGTATTTATATATTTACACTCAAAGACATGCATGGATATGTATGCATACAGAAACAAACATACACTTAAATACTGTATTTAAACACAGACACGCAGTAATTTTTAACCTGACATTGCCATTATGAATTCAATAAAAACAAAATGAATTTCAGAGACCCTGAGCTTGCACCCAGGCACAACACTCAAAAACCTGCCTCTATGCATCCCCGAGTTGCCATCATTAAGTCATTATCGTACCTGCGTAAGGAAGGGGTGGGACTGAAGGTCGAGCAGGGACGCCCGGAGGTCAGGGTCAGGGGTGAGGGCAGAGGTCAAGAGGTCACGGGCGGCATGGGAGAGCGAGGGTGGGAAGTTGAAGCGCCCGCTCCGGATGCACGCGTAGGTGTTGGCGAGGTCAGAGGTCGAGAAGGGAGGGCGCCCGGCGAGCATGGTAAACCTACAAGAACAACATCAACGTTGGTGTGTAGGTTTTTGCAGTTATGCGTACGAGTCGGCGTGTATTGGTATGCATGTGCGTGGGTTGGTTGGAATGCATGTCTGTGGGATGGTATGTGTGTGGATTGATATGCGTGTGTGTGGTTTGGTGTATGTGTGGGTTGGCATATGGGCAGCGGTGGCACCGTGGTTAGCGCACGGTGCTACGAACCCAGAAACCAGAGTTCGATTGCCGCTCACGGCCAATACCAGTGACGACTATCTGAACCGATCCTGGGTCTCCCCTCAATTGCATACTTGGTATGATGTATAAACATCGCCACTGGGGAGACAAAGGGCATGGTTCTGGTCACACCACCCCCTCGTGTGCTGGCCTTGTTGGCATGTGCGTATTGGTATGCGTGGGATTGTGGTAGGTTTGTGTTTACGCGTGTGTTGATATGCGTGGAATTGGTATGTGTGCGCTCCATGTTGGTATGCGTGTACGTACACGGCACACCCCAGTGACCAGATGTCAGCCTCAGGACCGTGACCTCGCTTATTCAGAACCTCCGGAGCCAAGTAATTGGGGGTTCCACACACAGTGCTGTAAGGGATTATCAAAGACAAAGACACACACACAAACATATAAATTTTAAACATACAGCAAGATGTATACACACATATGCACATGACGACACACACACACTGCACCATACAAAGTCTCTTGATCTCATGCAAGCCACATCAAACTCCATTGGACAGCTGAGGACACAACCATCGTGTGTCACAAGCTGTGCGTGTTTTGTTCAGTAACTATATTTGTTATACGCGTGTAAGTTATTATTTTGGCGAAGTAGTTTCTGCTATTATTATGAGTATACAACTGTTATTTCAGTTATTTGGGTCATACAAACGAGGAACGAGTCACACTGAACACCAACGGTCATGATATTTGATAACGATGAAATTAAAAACGTCCCCATTGAGTTGGTGCACCGTCTAATCCCTGGGTCCACTCAGACAGAACACACCGTTTCCTCATCTCCGGAGGCTCCAATGTGGTCGCCAGACCCAGATCTCCAATCTTCACCTCCATTGAGTCGGTGACGAAAAAGTTTCCTGGGATAAAAGACCAGGGTAGGGCTCACGTTAGGGCTAGTTCTAGCATTAGGGCGAACATTAGTGTCAGGGCTAGTGTTTGGCAGTGTTAACGGTAGTGCTAGCATTAGGGTGAGTATTAGTGTCACGACCACTGTCTGTTATTGTTAAGGGTAGTGTTCGTACCGAGGCTATTGTTCGGGTTAATGTTAGGGTGAGAGCTAGGGTTATGGTTAGTGTTAGGATTAGTGTTGTTCGAGCGAAAGGTAGAGGTATCGTTATTGTTACATTTCGGATAGAGTTCGTATCAGTTACTCTACCAGTGAACCTAGAGCTTGCCACGAAACAAAACGCCAGCCTGTGTACCCCATGTCATCGCACGCCACACCCCTACCCCTCTCCGTGAGTAATGTGGTGGTTGTGGAGAGGGTGGAGGAGTTCCTGTATGTGGGCAGTGCGCTCGTGACCAACTCTGGTTTGGCAGGAGAGGTCTCTACTCGGAATCAGTCAAGCAGCATTATAATTTCATCAGCTGTATAACAACGCTGTGTGGAAACTGTATGGCCTGTCGCTCCACACGAAGCTCTGGGTCTCAAAGATGACATGGCCCCAAAGCAGCTTCAAGCTTGACCTAGCCTGGCACATGCGCTATGATGATTTCACCGCCACATGGTGGCTGTTTCTCATGCTGTGTGTGTATAATGTGTCTGTGTGTGTATGTATGTTCATATACGTGCGCACTCGTTTGTAAGTATGTTCATGTGCAGACACTTACCCAGCTTCAGATCCCGATGTACCACGCCGCACTGGTGTAGATATCGCAGGCCCGAGATGAGCTGCCGCAGATAGTACTTCACCTCCGTCTCGGTCAGAACCTTCCTCGATCGGAGCATGTGTGCCAGGGACTGGAAATTGGACAAAAAAACAAGGTTATTGTGAGTTTACAAGCCTCCAGTCACTCCCATGTGTCTTCCCCTTCTACTGTGTAGCTCATATCTCTCTTCAGGACTCCATGCCACCCGCTTTCCTCCCCATCTCTCCCCTTCCTTCCCCGTGTCTCCCTCATATCCCTCCGTATTTCCCTTCGTCTCCAAATCTCTACCTTCTCTTCCCCCATGTCTCTCCCCCCTCCTCCCCGTGCCTCTCGTCTCCCCTTCCTTATCTCTCGCACCTGCCCATTGCACAGCTCCAGGATGATGTAGATGAAGTTTTCATCTTCGAAGCTGGATATGAACTGGACGATATGGCGATGGTGCAGTTTTCGGTGAAGGGAAATTTCTTGTTCAATCTGAAATGCAGACACAAACACAGATCCCCAAGTTTGTCTCGTGTTCCATCGGGGTAAGTGCCGTTAACGAGCACCCGTTACGGTCACTGTGGTAGGCGAAGGGGTGGATAGGTCAGCACCACGTGAGTTCACCTTTGTCTCCCCAGTGCTGATGTTTACACACCACACCAGGGAACTGAGATTGCAACAGGTTCAGATTCCACTTTCCACCGATGTCATTAATGATTGGGAATTGAACCCTGACCACTGAGATCATAGTGCTGTGCATGCACCACTGCACCACCACTCCCCATACACAAAGATCCCCCCTGTATAGCTGTAACAGACTTTTTGGGGCAAGTGTTGTTAGCAAGCACTTATGAAAGCTGGCACAGAGGCCAGCACCACGCCCAGCTGCTTTTGTCTTCCGAGCGGAAATGTTTACACACTACATCAAGTACTCATTTGAGGCCAAATCGATCTAGGGAAGGTCCAGGACTTGTTCAGATAATTTTCACTGGTTTTGGCCAAGAGCAGGAATGGAACTCAGGTCTCCAGGTTCGTAGCGCAGCACACCAAACCACGATGCCACCGCTCCCCACAACTTATACACACACAGATACACATTCAAGACACATCTATACACCCATACATGTAAACAAGCACATAGATTTGTAAACATGCTAAGGCATAAACATACAAACATGAACAAAAATAAACACGCACATACCCCCCCTTCACACACAATCAAATCAAAACATCTCCCAACTACTCACAATTCTGGTGTGGTTCTCATTGGTGGCTCCGAGCCAAATAAGGAAATTCCACATTTTTATGATGGGGCCACACTCTCCACCAGTGGCCACCACTGACTTCCCACAAAAGGAAAATGCATTTAATGAACCTTGGAGAGATGATCATGATGCTGCTGCTACCGCCGTTGATGCTGATGATACTGCCGACGCTGCTACTGCTGATGATGATGACGCTGCTGCTGTTCCCGCTGATCACTCATAATGACCATGGGTTTTAATTTATCTCGATCAGAATTCGACATCCAAATAACTAACAGGAAACCTGTGACTCGGTAAGCCTTTCCTGCTTCGAAAATATTTGTAAAACATTTCAAAAGTTAGAGGTGCACTCTACATTAAATGGTTTTGAGGCAGTGCTCTGTTACTGCTCACATGGATTGATGACTAACACAAACAATAAAAAATTATATTGGCATACAATACTTGCTGATTTGCTGTAATAGTCATGTTTTTTTTTTAAACGAGACGAAGAGAGCAACACCCTTCATGGTCTACATATAAAATAGTTTGGTTTCTTCTTAAAGAAAGGGTTAACAAAAAATAAGTTTCCAAAAATGTATCTTAGCCTGGAAATATCCCAAACTTATTCCATGAGGAGACATCATTCTTGGCGCTCGATTGGCTTAAGCTCGGTCACCTGACTGTAACCGTGACCCAGGCGCCATGGGCGTGAAGCAAACAGCGACGTTACAGGGAAACTATGCACGTGTGTAAATATTTGAGCTATTTTTAAACGTCTCTTTCATTTCCTTGTAAATTCCTCAGCTATCGTGTAACCTTAACTTTTCATGGCGAGAGTTATAATGAAAGAGCCACTGGCTTTTCTGAATTATTATTATGACTATCATTTCATCCGTCTGGATGGCAAAGAAAAGTTTTGGGTTCAACTCCAGGTTGTGGGTTGGCTTTTCCGATCATCCTAATAATCCTCTCTGGGGTTGATAAAATGATAATCACTGCTATGTGAGAGGTTAATGATGATTGGGCATCGTGTAGGGAAGACTGGTTCCTGCTATGGCAATGTGGAACATCCACTTCTGGCTTGGGGCCAGCAACAGAGATGAGTGCTGCCCCATCGGCTGTATACGTGGAGAGAAACGTTAACTTCTTAAACTTTCAGGTGCACCATCAATCTCGCAGTGCTGACTATCTCTGGCATGATCACTATGAACCTCGCAAGAGAGACACCAAGGCTCGAAACTTGAACATTGCTCCCAATACAGCATGTTTTCCTAACGCAAATTTTATGTAACGTATTAATATATTAGCGAACACATTTTTTATACTGTGGATGCGAATTGAATACAATGCGATCGAGTGAACAGAACTGCGTCGCATGAGTAGGAATAAGCGGTTGCACGGCTGCCTCGGCGTAACATCACACAAGCCGCGATGCTGCTAAATGCCTGCATATGCATCTCACGTGTTATCACGGGCTCTGCTTTATCCTATACCTACTATAATCACCCAGGAATGTCCTTAACGCTCGTGACGTCACTCCACATCGACCAGCCCCCCTCAGCAGGTGACGTCCTCCACATGGATCCCCTCCTCATTAATAATCATTAACAGGCGACGTTTGGCAAATGGACCCCCCCCCCCATTCATAATAATTAGCAGGTGACGTCACTCCACATGGGGGGCCGAGGCGCCTCCTCCCCCCCCCCCCTCCTCGGCGTCAACTTACAACCCTCACTACAAAGGCAGAACCCTCACGTCACGCCATCTCCGTAACGCTCTTGAGACATCAAAGTAAAAAGGACGTCATGATGAACAAGGGATTATAGCCTTAAAATGAAATAGGTCTGTGTCACCGCGCCCTTACAAATTGCACACGAATTGATGCAATGAATATCACGTCGCGCTCTGATTTTCGCTTGCAAGTTTCAGATTTACTGCAAGACACCCGTCCTTGGATGGGCAAAAGGCTAGTATTATATATTATTTACTATAATGCATTTTTCCACAACGCAGAGTTCTTCAGGAACGCAACTACCGCAATACAGGAGAACAGACTGTACCTCGAACCCAGGGCTTCAGCCATGCTGGCTGGCTCAGTGTCTCTCCGGTACGGTCACCGTCAGACCAGACCCTCACCTTTGCTCTGTGTCCTGGCTTCTCAACCCTCTGCTTGGTGATGATTTTCGCGGCGAAGTGGCAGCCAGTGTATTCCTCAGTCACCAAGTAGCATCGCGCAAAGCCTCCCTGAGACAAACAGCACAAAAGACAGCGGCGATCAGGGCAACACCATCGTCAGCAGCAGAACAATAATCATATTCAGCAGCAACGGTGATGTAATTTGCGGCAGTATCACCAGAAGTAGCAGCAGTGGTCATAGCAACAGCAGCAGCATTACCATCACTGCTACTGCTACGTCTTGTCATGATCACCAGCGGCAGTAGCAGCAGCAGTAGTACGATACAGCAGTAGCAGCAGCAGTAGTACGATACAGCAGTAGCAGCAGCAGTAGTACGATACAGCAGTAGCAGCAGCAGTAGTACGATACAGCAGTAGCAGCAGCAGTAGTACGATACAGCAGTAGCAGCAGCAGTAGTACGATACAGAAATAGCAGCAATAGTGCAAACAGAAGTGGTAGCGTGATCAGTTGCAATAGTAATAACACCACAACCACCACCACCTTCACCAATTCATCAGCAGCAATAGCAACAGTAACAACAGCAACAAGGATATTCGCCACTAAGTGGTGGTGACGTCACCACGGCGTTTTGTGCCAGGCTATGTGCACGTTGAGGCAAGTTGTCGAAGGCTCGCTGTGGCAGGGGGTCACAGAACAGACCCAGGTGCCACGGGGTTGAGCGACTGCAACAACTGGCAGTTCCACCCTAAGTGCTCGCTCCCCATCATGCCAACGCACCTCCGATCAGCACAGCTGGCTATGTACGGTGCGAAAGACGTTCAACGCGCATACAACCGAGTTCAAATCACCACAGAGGCACTCGCTCGCTCACCTTGCCCAGGAGGCGCCCCCGTGAGTAGAGAATGTCACGGCTCGCGTCTCTGATGACCCGCGGTGGCCGAGGAGGCAGCTCTGAGGACATGATCCGGGGCGCCGAGTTTTCAACCTCGGTACTCGCGGAACTCAAAAAGGCCTGGAAACGAGGAACAACGCCGAGAAGTCAACAAAAAATAAAACCTTGAACACACCAAAGATGCAACACCAAAAACCCAGAAACCTGACCCAGACTGACATCATCATCATCGTCGTCCAGTACTTCATCTCAGCTGGACGGAGTCTGCGTACTGATATTGCACTTGAATTATTTCACAACAGTTGCCTTGTTTATTTCACAAGACAGCTGTACTTATCTCAGCGGCCAGTGGTGTCATAGATTTAGAAGAAATATACTGGGTACAATTACAAGAACTATTATCATGGACTGGAAGTACCTTACTCATTGTTTTTTTTTTTTCGGTAAAGTCACGTATGTGGAAATACAATAAAATACAATAAAATTATATTATTGTATTTCTACATACGTGACTTTACCGAAAAAAACAATGAGTAATTGTATGCAGTCACGAAAGCTTTAATACTGGAAGTACCTTGTTGTACAGGTACTCTCGGGGTAGTGCCTCGCGCTAAGATAATCCTGACTTTGTGTGGCGAGATGTTCACGACCACCTGGCGTGCAGGAGAGGTCATGGGGTCAATCCCTGTTTATTTGGAGTTTGCAGTGTCTCTCTCCCCGTGGTCTCGTGGATTTTCCTCGGTCCTCCGGTTTCCCCCCTCACATTTAGAAGCCACATCACGTGTTTAGAGTATATGGCTGCTATGTATTTTTGCGCGTGATAAACCACTTCGTTGAGTTATCATTTGTGGCCAGGTCGCTTCTGAAAAAGTTTTATATATATAGCTAAGTGGGCCTCACCTGGTAAAATAACATCGTTATAATTTGAAGACTTATCATTTTAACACCACACGGATCACCGGGCAGCAATAACACATTTTACAAATTAAACCTGCATTTAAGCAAACATTTACTCTGCATCATATCTGCAACAGGCTCCCTGTGGGTGCCACTTTCCTTGGGGCCACGCGGGCTACACGTTGACAAGTATTGGCTCCCTCTCTCCTCCAGCAGCGAGAATCTAAAACTCTGGCTACATCGAAGTACCTGCAATCAAGACACGAACCCTGGTGAAGACCGATGGGGGTGTGTGGGGGACAGATGCCGAGCGAGCCCAACAGCAAACAATCTGAGGCCAGCACTTGACTAGACGCGACACCCCACCCCCCTACGCAGTCTCCTCCCTGGTCGTCTATCCGTTAAATCGAAAGCAGACATTGCAGTGACCAAGTGAAGCGAGTTGCTACGCCCTTTCTCTAGCAGGGGGCCCACGTGAAGTGGAGTGGGTAATTACACGCGTGGCTAAATGCAATTAACATGGTCGGCCAAGGGGGCCGATCACACACTCACCCGCTCACTCACCCGGCTCACTAACTCACACTCACCCGGCTCACCCACTCGTTCACCAGCTCACTCTACCACTCACTCAACTTACTCACTCGCCCGTCCGCCCGCGCGGCCACTCAGTCACTCAGCCATTGACTCACCCAATCACTCACCAAGTCACTCACCCAGTCACCCACTCACTCACTCACCAAGTCACTCACCCAGTCACTCACTCACCAAGTCACTCACTCACCAAGTCACTCACTCACCAAGTCACTCACTCACCCACTCACTCACTCACCAAGTCACTCACTCACCCACTCACTCACCCAGTCACCCACTCACTCACTCACCAAGTCACTCACTCACCCGCTCACCCACTCACCCACTTACTCACCCAGTCACCCACTCACCCAGTCACTCGCTCACCCAGTCACTCGCTCACCCAGTCACTCACTCACCAAGTCACTCACTCACTCACCAAGACACCCACTCACCAAGCCACTCAATCACCAAGTCACTCACTCACCAAGTCACTCACTCACTCACCCAGTCACTCACTCACCAAGTCACTCACTCACCAAGCCACTCACTCACCCGCTCACCTGTTGCTGCTGCTGTTGCTGCCGCCCCGTGCACACGAATTTCAATGAATGAGCGCGGGGGCGTGGACTCGCGTGACGTCATCCGGGGAGGGGGCGTGGTCGAGGGGGGGTGGGGGGAGGGATCCTCGCCGCGCGCGCGCCGCGTACGTTGGTTCGTGACGTCAACACTTTTTTTATCGATTTAAACACGCGCCGAATATAAAGCTGCGTTTAAATGTATTTCAATAGCGCCAAGTGATTTTAAAAGCGTTTGTATAGTTTCGCGGGCGTTTGGGCAACGTCACGTCGCGCGTTGCTTTCGGCGCGGATGACGTACACCTCCCCCCCCCGCCGCCCCCATGACGCGGACGTCATCGCGCAACGTAATCACCTCCCGACATTAAACGTCGGCCCCGTGTGCGTGATGATGTCACGGCAGCGTGCGCGCCTGCGTCACGGGGTGTGCGCGGTGACGTCGCGGGCATGCCCCGGCGTGCCTGGGCGTCGACCGCATTCCTGCTGCTTGACTCGGTCGGTCGGGCGTGCGGGAGATCTCGGTTCAAGGGGTCCTCCCTCCGCGTTTCTTTTTGGTGTTGCCGCGGAAAGTTAAACATTGACGCGCTCACAAACGACACGGCTGCCACCAAACAATACCACAGTAGCCGCCGTTCGCCCCGGAGTGACGGTGACGGGGCCTGTGCCAGGCTAGGTGCAGGAGGTCTCGGGACAGACCCAGCCCGGTGCCATGGGTTTGGCTGACTGAGATGACTGGTAGATTCACCACCAGCTGTGCCCGCTACTGTGCCAGGCTAGGTGCAGGAGGTCTCGGGACAGACCCAGCAGGTGCCATGGGCTGACTGAGATGACTGGTGGTAGATGCACCACCAGCTGTAACCCCCCCTGTGCCAGGCTAGGTGCAGGAGGTCACGGGACAGACCCAGCATGTGCCATGGGGTGGCTGAGATGACTGGTGGTAGATGCACCATCAGCTGTTCCCGCTACATGTGTCAACTTGCTGCATTATTGTGAGCGTCGCTCCTCTGCCCTTCGTTGTTGCTGGAGGGCGACTGGCAACTGCCCTGTAGCAGCGTCCTTCATGAGCCTCCTCCAACAACCCACACAGAGTGTAAGAGTAGCAAGCAGCAGTAGCAGCAGCCAACAAGAGCATCGATGTTTTCTGGTCTCCCCTTTGTAACCATAAAAATCATCGCGTGACGCCCGCGTCATTTGTCAAACGCCACACGCCGTCTAAACATAGGTCACCCTCCTATTGTGAACTCGCCCATTGTGACCCGCGGCTTCTCATTGTCTCCATTTAGATCAGACGGGACCACGTCTGCGTCAAGGCACATTTACGCATTTACCTCAGAAGAAGCCCTGGGGCCATTGACTTTGGGGAGCTTTAGTTCTGACACTTTGAACTTCTTGAGGCATTAACACGTGAGTCTGAATGCTGCGGAGCCGGGCGGTTCGTGGCGGTAGTAGTTAGTGGCTTTCCATGCACGTGGCCTGTAATCCAGCACTGGGAGGCATTGCGAGGGTTGGTGGGTCACGCAACTGTTTGCGGGACTCCCCGTGGACGTCGAGATGCAATATTTCTATACCCCGGCTTGCCAGGAGAAAGGCGATACAATACCGTACAGAAAAGTGCATACTTATATACATCTGTCCTTTGTATGGGATAGTGTTGCCCCCTGCGATTGGGTGCGTTTTCTCCTGATGAATACACACTGCATTTGACTGAAACATCTCAATGTATAGACGACTGCAGAGCTTGGGCAATTGTTCGTAGCACTGGCTCACCACCTGGCTTGCTGCGTTCCAGCTTAGTCTGTGGTTCCTTAATAAATTGTGAGATGCAATTTGCATGAACGACGATGCTATACACAACCAAATATTCGATTTAAAGCTTTCGTGACTGCAGGGATTCATCTTTTTGGTTCTCTCGGTAAAGTCACGTAGAATTGAAATATTTTATTACGTTTTATTTTAATTATTTTATTTCAATTCTACGTGACTTTACCGAAAGAACCAAGAAGAACAACCAAATATTATTAGTCGGGCTCTTTAAACCTCAAGCATTGTCACAACCCTAACAGAGCCTTTAAACAATGATTAACACTAAACTTAAACTACACTTTTTATTTTAACAAGTAAGGCCCACTGAACTATATACCTCTTCTTCAGAAGCGACCTGGCCACAAATGATAGCCCAATCTAGTGGCTTATCACGTGGAAAGGTATAGCAGCAGCCAAATACTCGAAACGAATGTTTCAAAATATGGAGGGAAAAACCGGAGGACCCGGAGAAAAATCTACGTGACCACAGGGAGAACTTGCAAACTCCAAATATACAGCAACCGTCAGCGTCGGGATCGAACCCACAACCTCCTGTATACAAGGCGAGGTAGTTAACATCTCGCCACCAAAGTGCCCCACTGAACTCAAGAGGAGCTTTCGTCTGCCTCTACAAGCCTGAGGCATTAGCAATGAACTCTAAGAGATGTTAAGTCTGGCTCCGAGGCTTAAATTAACATTAAACCCAAAGAAAGCCTTAATGTGGCTCTATGTGACTCAGGCATTGTTACGTTAATATCATCTCCTTTCTTGGCTGGCGAGCTCAACGTGGAATTCCAGGGTAGTTACAGTGCACACGGCAGCCTTTGCACTGAATTAGTTTGCAGCAGCGTTTCGTAATTTCTGTGTGCCTGTGGTCACGGTCAACTGACACTGCTGAACTCCACCCATGAGAAGAATCTATCGTGTGTTAGAGGTCACCATCGATACCATGGCTGCCAGTGGTGACAAGTACGGTTCCGAACACCAATCCACCACAGACACGTTCTTGAAAGAAGTACATGGCGCACAGTCACGTAGCTATTGCGTGTGCAGCCGGTGGAATTGCACGGGGACCCGTGAGTTGGAGATGTCCAGGCACCAGGCGATGAAAGAGGTGGTGGGGGCGGGGTGGGGGGCATTAGATGGGGAAGGAAAATCATTTAATTCCTTGCATCGGACTCCATGCCAACCAGACTCTGCCACTGGCGGTGCTCAAAACTCGATGCTGCACACCGACATCTTAAAGGCACTTTCAATGCGTCTCGTCTCCCCAGTGCCCGGTGTGGATGTGGCCGCAACGCTGTGCACTGACATCAGTGGATGGCCACACCGCCTGGGGCGAAGAATGGCAGCGCAGGAATGCACCAAACTAGCACCTTGACAGCGACCCGCTCCGACCACCCGCCCAGCTTTGATCCGCCGCCAATGTCTGTGGGTTGCAACTCAACCGCTTCCGCTGTGGACAGGGGCTCTGCGTGCCAGAGGAGAATCACCGGGGCTGGTGTGTGACAGCGAACTGTGTGACTGACAGCCTGCTGTGTGACACTGTGACAGGCTACTGTGACACTAACAGCCTACTATGTGACACTAACAGCCTAATGTGTGACTGACAGCCTGCTGTGTGACACTGTGACAGGCTACTATGTGACACTAACAGCCTGCTGTGTGACACTGTGACAGGCTACTGTGTGACACTAACAGCCTACTGTGTGACACTAACAGCCTACTGTGTGACTGACAGCCTGCTGTGTGACACTGTGACAGGCTACTGTGTGACACTAACAGCCTACTGTGTGACACTAACAGCCTACTGTGTGACACTAACAGCCTACTGTGTGACTGACAGCCTGCTGTGTGACACTGTGACAGCCTACTGTGACACTAACAGCCTACTGTGTGACACTAACAGCCTACTGTGTGACACTAACAGCCTGCTGTGACACTGTGACAGGCTACTGTGTGACACTAACAGCCTGCTGTATGACACTAACAGCCTACTGTGTGACACTGTGACAGGCTAGTGTGTGACACTAACAGCCTGCTGTGTGACACTAACAGCCAACTGTGTGACACTAACAGCCTACTGTGTGACACTAACAGCCTACTGTGTGACACTAACAGCCTACTGTGTGACACTAACAGCCTACTGTGACACTAACAGCCTGCTGTGTGACACTAACAGCCTACTGTGTGACACTAACAGCCTACTGTGTGACTGACAGCCTGCTGTGTGACACTGTGACAGGCTACTGTGTGACACTAACAGCCTACTGTGTGACACTAACAGCCTACTGTGTGACACTAACAGCCTACTGTGTCACACTAACAGCCTACTGTGTGACACTGTGACAGGCTACTGTGTGACACTAACAGCCTACTGTGTGACACTAACAGCCTGCTGTGTGACACTGTGACAGGCTACTGTGTGACACTAACAGCCTACTGTGTGACACTAACAGCCAACTGTGTGACACTGTGACAGGCTACTGTGTGACTGACAGCCTGCTGTGTGACACTAACAGCCTGCTGTGTGACACTAACAGCCTACTGTGTGACACTAACAGCCTACTGTGTGACACTAACAGCCTACTGTGTGACACTGTGACAGGCTACTGTGACACTAACAGCCTGCTGTGTGACACTAACAGCCTGCTGTGTGACACTGTGACAGGCTACTGTGTGACACTAACAGCCTACTGTGTGACACTAACAGCCTACTGTGACACTAACAGCCTACTGTGTGACACTGTGACAGGCTACTGTGTGACACTGTGACCGCCTACTGTGTGACACTAACAGCCTACTGTGTGACACTAACAGCCTACTGTGTGACACTGTGACAGGCTACTGTGACACTAACAGCCTGCTGTGTGACACTAACAGCCTGCTGTGTGACACTGTGACAGGCTACTGTGTGACACTAACAGCCTACTGTGTGACACTAACAGCCTACTGTGTGACTGACAGCCTGCTGTGTGACACTGTGACAGGCTACTATGTGACACTAACAGCCTGCTGTGTGACACTGTGACAGGCTACTGTGTGACAGTAACAGCCTGCTGTGTGACACTGTGACAGGCTACTGTGACACTAACAGCCTGCTGTGTGATACTAACAGCCTACTGTGTGACACTGTGACAGGCTACTGTGTGACACTAACAGCCTACTGTGTGACTAACAGCCTATGTGACACTGACAGCCTACTGTATGACTGACAGCCTACTGTGTGACTAACAGCCTACTGTGACACTAACAGCCTACTGTGTGACTGACAGCCTG